TAAAAACCAAACACCAAAAACTTACAGCAGATTTTGTAATTAAGAGTAAAACAGCGTTACAGTTGTTATCAGTAAGAGCGATATTTGATTTGAGCGTTGATACTTTTGACCTTGGGGTGAGCAGAGAAATGGAGAGATCGAGAAGAGATAGAGAGAAGAGAAGAGGCCTGAGTCACGGCCCCTGGGGGCAGCTGCTGTTGATGTGAGTGAAACAGACGTGAGTGGATTAGCCTCGTGAAATATACATGTAAATCTGCAAAATACAGTCAGTCAACCAGAAGAAGAGAACTTGTAATGTGACTGTCTACTAAGGAGTTTTTGTAATAAAAAAAGAAAGAAAAAACGTACTTGTACATATATTTCTAATAGAGTTTTATTAGTATTGCAACCTTGTAGCTGCTGTAACTTTTCTGGAGGGGGATCACCTTCTTCTCTCCATGGAGATGTTATTATAGATCTGAGCTGTAACTTGGCCAAAGTGGCATCGTCGGCTCGTGTTCCTAGAGATACATATGTTTAAATCCTTACTGTGGAACTTTCCAGGAAAAGCAATAGGCAAGGCAAGTTTATTTATAAGTGTTTTACAGAATAAGAAATACATCAAAACATAACTAATCATCATGAAGTAACATAAGCTGATAATGAGTATACTTTACACCAGTGAAGTTATCTCCAAATCTAGTTTCGTCTCATTTATTCATGCAAAATTAGGCTACGACTGCAACCTGAAGTGACCCAAATCTGATTTTTTTCTCCCCCATGCTCCTGTATCTGATCTTTTAATGACAGTCTTAAAGGTTGTATGGAGGATTTTTTTTTTAGTTTCAAAATGTCAATGAAAGTTTAAAATACCATTACAGAGACGCAGCAGCCTTGTAATTATGATGACCAAAAAAAAAAGAATGAAAATCTATCAACTGTGAACGTAGTGAGGCCAGATAAACATCAGCCAATAGAAAACGAGGCTGCCTCTTTTTCTATTGGCTGTTAGGTTCTCAATCAAACTTCCTACGTTTCTAGTGTAACTGACTCGCCAGCGCGCGGAGATTACGTGGTTTATGCAGCGTTTCTTAGAGGCTTTTTCAAACTGTAGGTTCTTCGCAGTTTGCACAAAGTTTGTTACGATGGCGGACGAGAATCCACGACCAGTTCTCAGCAAAAGAAAGTCCGTTTTTGAGGTTGCTGAAAGATGAAGAGAAGGGGAAAAGGAGCATTAGGAAAAGTTAGATTAGAGAGTTTAATATTTGAGGTGATCGCTGCATTCAGGACAAATTGGAGGGGTCTTATTGGAACTGGGCAGTTTTTGAAATGATTGCCAAAGAAATGTCCGAGCGCGGCTACAGACGGTCCTGGCTCCAATGCCAACAAAAAATAAAGAGCCTGCGAGCCAAATACAAGGAGGATAAAGACTCAAACAAAGAAGGCGGCCGTGGACGTGTAACATGTCCATTTTACCAAGAACGGGACTGGATTTTTGGAGACAAGTTCAGCATTTATAGCCAGGCTGGCGCCACCTAGTGCCTCCGCTCAATTTCATTTCTCTCGAATCAGAATACACTCAACAGTTTGCAAAAATCCCAGAAGTGGGAGTCTGGGCACCAGCCAATCAACAAAGAGCCACACATTCTGTTTTGGCAACGATTCCCGAGATCGAGGATTTAAAGCCGGAACAAAGAGAATGTTTGGTGAATTTTATCAAGAGTAAAGACGTTATTGTCCTTCTTCCTACGGGATTTGGGAAAAGCTTAATATACCAGTTATCTCCGTTTGTGGCGCATTACAAACGTCACGACCAAATAGCAGCGATTGGTTAAATGAAAAAAAGTACCCGCCTACTGTCGAGCGAACAAATCTTAATACAGCAAGGTCAGACGGTTTCCACAAAATGACACCGGCGGATGAATCAGGCTGCAGAGTTAAGGCGACTTCGTAATCACTGAGCACGCTCACTCCAATGCTCATGCGGGACACTTTTGGGGCGTTTAATGTTCACACTGGAGATCACAAACAAGTCGCATTTAATTGGAAATGTGAACGAGCTTGCAAAAAATCTGATTCCACAAAAAAATCCAAATTGAGCATTAAACCCTGCAGTGTGAACGTGGCCTGAGTTGTTGAAGTGAAACACAGGCTTGGCTTTTTCTTTTTACTTGCCATTTGTGTTATAATTTAATTAGTGGAGGAACTTTTGTAAACTTGAATGTTTTTTTTAAAGGTCCTATATTAAAAAAAAAAACTCTTGTGAGCTTTATGCCATGTTATAATGCTGTTACCTCATTTAAAACATACCTGGAATTGTGTTTTGTTTCATTCACACATGTTTGAATAACTCTGCATTATTAGTCTGTCTACATCTCCTAACTACAAAATGCTCTGTTCCACCTTGTGATGTCATGAAGCGGCAGTTTTCAAGCTACATTTTTACCTTTTGTTCAATAAAGAGCAGCAATTCCAGGGCTGAAATAATCCAGATGATTCAGTTCGAGAGAGGAAATCAACCTAAATCTGCAGGGTTTGTGTGTTAAACATGTGTTAATGAAACAAAAACACAACTCCAGGTCTGTTTTTTTGACAAGGAAACATTATAACAGATCACACACTGTTTTGAAGTGTTCTATTTGTCATGTTGTACGAAAAATCTAAAGATCGTTATGGAAAAAGTGGACGATATGTACAACAGCATGTCTGAATGTCCCTCTACGCGGCTGTAACCTTCTCGGAGCTAAATCCAGCGCAGCCTTAAGTCAGGAGCTCAGGTCAAATGTCAAAACTGTTGAAATGTTCTGAGGTTCAACACGACGTTTTACCGACGTCGCTGTAACTGTCAAATGTTTCACATACAGTCGCTGGAGGTCACCCTGTGTACACTGCAGATGGCTGATAAGATTTGTGAATATTTTGAAGTTCATATATGGCGGCTTGAGATTGTGTTGTTGTAGATTTTTTTTGGTTTGGGGGCTCCGTCACCTGCTTGTTTCCATAGACAGTGTGACATTAAACAGCTCTACTTTACATTTATTCAATTATATGTGGTTTTATGGCTGAAAAATAAGTAGAAAAACAACATTCTGACTGTGAGCGTGGTTGCCTTTCCACAGATCTGAAAACCTAAAACATGCCTGTGCTGGAGCTTTAAGATCGATAACTGATATGAGTAAAAGGCTAAATATCGAAACAATATCGGTCTAGCTTTAGTACTTAGACTGCTTTTGATGGTACTCGAAGTCCTCTGGAGTTTTGAGAAGTACTGGTGTTAATCATATTTTTATAGTCCTTATAGTTGATTTGAAGCTCTGCAGTGAGTTCCTGTTGGACTGTGGGCGTGAGGGAGGGAGCGGCAGCAGCAAAGGCTCAGGACTCCGGTCTTTCTACTTTCTATTGTGAGACACTAAAACCTGTTAATTTGCTTTCTGGACCAACACCAGTAATACATAGAAGTTTTCTCAATGCCTTAAAGTGAAAGCCTCTAGAAAGAGCCGCCCGAACCTCCAGAATTCACTCCTGAGCTGCAGAGGCTGCACTAGCACTGATTCATGATTGGCTGCAGGTGCTGGGGTTTTGGTAGAGACCATTCAGATCAGAGAGAGGCATTTTAAGTTAATATCAAGACTTCCTGTTTGAGTGTTATTGGATCTTCTGTTGTGAAGCAATGTTTATGCAACATTGGACAGATGAACTACTTAATGCTGTTAAGACATGAAATAATGGAGAAATAAAGAACACTGGGCCTTATTCATGAAACATCTTACGAACAAATTTGTACTTAAGGCCTTCTTATGAACATTTTTTGGATTCACAAAACTTTTTCTTAACTGAAAATGTTCTTCTGGAAGAACAAATCTTACGAACAGTCAGGAGCACTCGTAAGAACAAGAATTCTACTGTTTTAGAATGTTATTACTCTGATAATACAATTAAAAATAAAAATTCCTCCAGGATCGTAAGTTATATATTTTCTTAATTTATTTCCTATAAACATATGACTGTGTGATCCAATAACATTTATGAGGAGTTTTATAGAGCCTGTATCTATTGTGTCTAACAGACTTTCTCCAAGCCCCAGTGCCCAGGGCCTCTGTCACAGCCCTGCTCCTGGTCACCGCGCTGGACTCAACATCCCTGCACCCCCTGAACCCCATCACCCTCCACCACCCATCACCCTCATCTTCACCCCCCCGAGCTCCCTGAAACCACATGACCAGAGCGCACTTTTATGCACCTCTACCCCAGTCCCCCTCCCTCGCTATTTACTGCAGATCACGGAAAGAGAAAGCGCCCGCCTATTTCAATAAGTTTATGACTTAAATATTCCCTCCCTGTGTGTGTTCATGTGAGTTTGGACATTTGAAATTGCCGCTGAAGCTGTAAAACACCCATAGCCTGTAGACACACTCCATCTGACTTCCCTGTTCACTCTCCTCACACTTTCACGTGTCATACCACCAAACACATATTGACCACATTTGGATGTTCAGAGGGCATTTCCAACCAAATACACATGAATTTTCCATGTAAATGAAATGTAGATGAGCGTGAAGATGTTCATTGATGGATGTCGGTGAATTCGTCGCAGCTGTCACTAAAGAGGCAATTCGGCTGCTTAAGAACGCTTTGTAAATCTGGGGCAGCGTTCTCTCAGCATTTTCTTAAAGTAGAAGTTATGAACCTTTTTTAAGAAAAGATCCATGAATGAGGCCCACTGTGATTGGTATCCACATTTCAAACTCCGCCTCTGCATCCAGGTGTTTGTGATCAGATAAAACCTGTATGTAAGGAGGACAGTTATTCGTGATATCACCAACTACAAGGAGCTGCAGAGGCCATACACATACTCAATTTTGTACATTTTTTTGGTTACAATGCTGCAAATTTACCTAGTTTGAGTTAAAATTGACCAAAAAATACACAATTAAAACACAATATACACAGTTGAGTAGTGAAAAAAGTGTTTCGTTCCACTTTTAATGAATTCTGTCCTCTTGTGTGTGTTTGTGTTGCAGAAGCCGGACTGTGTGGAGGGCTCGATCCAGGCCCTCCTCTCAGACCTGTACCCCCCGTTTGACTCGACTGCTCCCACTCTGCTGAGCCAGCTCTTCAGCCTTATCCAGGGCCGATACCGCGGCGACGCCCTCCGCTGCCTCCTCCACTTCCTGGTCCCTGCCAAGCACATCCTCGACTCGGTGCAGCAGGCCGCCTGTGTGAGTCTGTCACCTGTCCGTACGTTCACAGTCACTCGTCCGTACGGTTATATTTACTCCCATGCGTGTGCGCTGAGGTCAGAGGTCAGCTCGTGGGCCCTAAGACGACACTTAAAACCCGAGGGGACAGGGTTGATCTCTGGAACGCGGTCGACCTTTGCCCCCCCCACGTACCAACAGCCCCCCCTAGTGGAAAGTTTAAGTCTCGTCATAAGACCCAATGTTTTTGTTCGTCTTTTAAGCTGTAATTGAAAGGTGCATTGTATAACTTTTCTGGTGGAGAGCCCGTCGAATGCTTTTCTTCATGGAGATGTTATTGCTTTGTCTGGAATGTTTCACAGACCAAACCGGACTCAAGTTACAGGTCAGATCTGTGGAGTGGCAGCCCCACCCACAGTCAGAATGTCATTTTTTCTAGGTATTTTTGAGCTATAACACCACCTGTAATTGAATAAATGTAACATAGAGCTGTTTAATGTCAGACTGTGAATTCAGGCAGAGCAGTGACATACCCATACAAACAAGCAGGTGATGGACTCCCTCTGTATAGAGCACATAAAAGTCAAATTGTTCTACTCGGACTCTGCTAAGATACTCTGAATGTCATTGTGGGGATTCCTGGTTACATAAATGTCTGTAGCCTATATCTCTGTATGAGTTGGAGTAGTGTTGTATTCAAGACCGCACTAACCGGAGTTATAATATTTCCAGTGGCTCTGAAAACTCTCTCTGATGATGCGCTTGTTGCACAGATGCACTTGTACCTTGGTTGTTGTGTGGATATAGTGTATGTAGCGGGAGAAGTAACAAATGCTGCTGCATCTCTCTACACTGGGTGGGTGTGGGTCTCTAAAAATGAACCTGTGCAGGACTCAGAGTCAGGTCACGTTGGTCACGTGCGGTGATCGCGGTGGCCCAACATGCACCACAGTGGACCTCTTAGTACCACAGTGATTCATTTTTGCGGTTATTGCGACAGCCCTAACCATGGCCCAGCGAGACGAAATTGAGACCATCTTTGTAATTTTCGACATTTATTTGTATTTTACAGTTACTTTGGCACATGTATATCAGCGTTTATATAAATCTATATCTATTTTATCTGATAAATGTTAATTTAAGCTTAAAATAAGACAAGCAAACTGCACTGCACTTGAACACTCTGTGGCCCTTTTTTTGGACTCTCACCTACAGTTTCAGACACCCTTCTTTAATTAAAAGTACGTCCACTGGCACTTTACAGAAAACTGAAGAAAATGAAGAAAATGGGTTAGGGATTGGGGTGGATTTTTAAACCTGTTTTTTCATGTTCTTAACTGGAACTAGACCTCGAGTCTGTGACAAGATCGAGTCCAAACGTGATTGAATCCGAGACGAGACCATAAAAAAACGTTCTTGAGGCCAGTCTCGAGTACTACGACACTTAGAGTTAATAATATGTTCAATAAGACTAATCACTGAACGCCTCTTTCTCTTTCCCATCGCAGTCTCAGTATCCAGACCGGCTGTTCCTTCACGAGGGCTGGCCGCTGTGCTTAAGGGACCGGGTTGTCCTCCACCTCTCCCCCATAGAACCCCAGCACCTCTGTCCCGGAGACTTCTACCTCCAGGTGGCGCCCTTCTGTGACCAATCAGCTCGCATCCTGGTCTGCAGTCGACTGGAGGAGGCTGGGCTTGGACAGTCCGACGTTCTAATCGAGGAAACGCCGATCCCAGAGACTTCGTACCCTTGCATATTCACGGTCGATTGGTTGACGGAGTTGAATCGGGATCGCAATGGGACGCCTTTGAGTCACTGTTTACTCACAAATGAGCAGGGCGTGGTGAGGCTACCATGGGAGAGGGTAGCCGTACCTGAATTTTTGAACAATTCCCAAAATCGGAATATTATGGCCTCAGCGCCTTCGTCATACCCGCCTATTCCACCTCCGCTTCCTACTTTCCCCGAAACCATCTCATCGAAGCAATTACCAATTTCTAAACCAGCGCAGCAGCCAGTAGCGAAACAAAACTTCTCTGTGCAGACGAGGATATGCCCGGCGAAACACGGAATAGCTGTTTCTTTACGTTTGGTGGATACTAGCCTGGCAACTTCGGCGACGAATCAATCTAGCGTTCGCAAAGAGAGCGAGCAAGAGGCGAAACCGGTCGTGTGGGTGTCCCCGAGCACGCGCGACAATCAGGAAAGCAAAACAGATATCAGCAAAGAGTCAAAAATCGTTGACCAAATTAACTTTACCGAAGGCGAGTACATCGATATAATGCAAGCGACGATGCTGTTCGGAAATGCCAGCTTGTCCAATGAGCAAGAAGAGAAAAAACAATTCAGCAACTTGCAAAAATTACCGGTAACACAACCCCGACCGATGGATTCGTACATGCAAACCCAAAGACAGCTAACGACGTTCACCTCAGCGAGCAAACTACCTCCGAGACCTCACAACCGCAGCCCGCCAAACCCGGCAGCAGCTCCAACGCTAAACCACCATTCTAGTTTGGAATCACCGGAAGTGTCGCCGTGTTTTCGCGCCGTTCAGTTTTCGGAAAAACCCTGCACACCGTGTCTGCAGCGGAAAAACATCGGGAAAGTGTCCAAAGCACAAGAGCTGAGGTGTAAATACCGGGATTCGTACCAAGCGGCGATCCAAAATCCGTTGAAAGATAAATCCAAAATGTGTGCGGTCGTGGAGGAAGAAAGCGATTTTCAGCCAAATATTAGTAACCAAAATGAAACGGGAAATCCTTGGGGGAGTTTTCAGGCGGGGGGAGTTTTCAGGCAAGGACAATCTGATGCTATTTGTAAAGAATCGGGCGAGACAAACACTCTTAGCTATTGGAAACCAGGTGATGGCGCCCCCTGTGTGGAATACAGAGTTACTGACACGCCAAAACAAGACGCCACAACTACAACAGACCGGACCACTGTCGCTTTAAGGCAACCACGGACTAACGTAAACGGATTACCGCCGAGAATACCAAACGCTGGATGTTGCAACGCTCCAACGCAAGCAAATTTTGGATATTGCTCAAATGAAAATCAAGGTTACGTTGAGCAAAACAGGGATAATTATTTCAGGAATGTGAGTTTTTATAGTCCCCAGAGCAGGAGAGGTTCCCTGCAGTCGGACGGCAGGAGCTCCTCTCTGTCCACGGCGGTAGTCGACACGTCGGAGAAGTGTGACGTGGTGATCGTGGATGGAAAGAAGATCAGGAGGAAGGAGAACAGAGAGCCCAGTCCTGATGTTCCTCAGCTCCACGTGGTCAAGTGTAAAAACAGCACGGCGTTCGGACTCGTGTCGCCCAAGATCAGCCGCAGGAAGCTGACTGTCTCAGGTACAGGTAAAGATTTCTCAAGAATACTTTTTTATTTTTTATTTAACAGGACAATTTCCATCTGCAGTCCTTAAAAATAAAGGGAGAAGCTGACACACATCTTGGAGGGTGACCAGACTTCCCTATTTACCCAGGACAGTCCCAGTTTTGAGCCCTGTGTCCCCTGTCCCAGTAGATTTATACAAAACCAGTGATTTGTTCCAGTTTTATCACGAAATGTCCCATGTTTCCCTATTTTTGACCAATTTAATTTAAACCAAGTCTAAACCAGAACTAAATTAAGACTAAAGCAGACTACATTAGGTCTAAATCAGGACTAAAACAGGACTATCACAATTCTTGACCAATCTGATTCCGTCAACAGTAAAGAGGAACATAAATTGTCACTTGTTTAGTCAGAAATAAAGAAAATCATATTTGCAAATGATCATAAAGCAAGTCCTTCAAAAGTCCTAAAGTCCCTCAGACTATGGCAAGAGAATCCACAATGTGTCACGCTCTTTTCACAACTTTATTTATACCAAACATCCCAACCGGGTGTGTCCTAGTTTTAAATTTTGAAGATCTGGCCATATCACATATAACATATCACTCATTATATTGGTGTTGCCAGAGCTAGTTTAGTAACACAGATGACATAGTACAATTTGTTCTTTTGATTTTTAATTAAGGACAAAAAACTATAAAATGGGAAAACAGTTTATTTCATTATTCCGTTGTAGTGTGAAACAAAAAATCTGATTTCAACCTCTATTTCCAATATTTGATTTAAAGTTTATTTCAAATAACACCAATCAAAAAACAGTCTCACTGCCTATTTCAATGTTGATATTTTATTCTCTCTGGTTTATATGAAGTTCTGCTGCTCATTGCGCTGCATCTGAATTCAGTGTTAGCTGAACAAAGGAGAGTTTATCACTTCTTCCTGTTTATTGTCATGGAGTTCAACAATGACTTTCTAAGATGCAAAAGTAAATGCATCACTATAAAAGAAGACCACATGTTTGTCCATAAAACTGCAACGATTTTTCAAGTACGTCCTTCTTATGGGGCAAATAAATCAGAGAGAATAAAAAATCTAAATTAAAATAGGCATGATGACTGGTGTGATTTGAAATAAACTTTAAATTAAATATTGTAAATGGTACACGGACCATGGACCCATTTTATTAAATCAGGAGTGTCAAACATACGGCCTGGGGGCCAGATCCGGTCCTCCAAGACCTTTAATCTGGCCCTCAGCAGATTTTCTACTAAAATATTTTAATTATATTTCCTATTAAAATATTGTTAATTTTCTGTGGTGCTGATCATAGCAGCGTCTCCAGTGTCTCTGTACGTGGCCCCTCCCACCAGAGCAGCACAAATGAAGACTTGTCTCTTTCCAAACGCTCTTAAAGGACGATCGTTTTGACTGTTGACCGTGACACCCTCATCAGAAAAATGTCAAAAATGAGAAAAGTGGAGCCGAGTGCAGAATTTTCCAAGAAAAATTGACTTATTCCTATTTGCATACAAGTTCATGTTAAAACATTGTGTTGAAATTGCATTTTTCTTAAAGTTTCAGGTTGTTCATAATATTATATTTTGTAAAAGAAAGAGTTAATCAATTTAAAAAAGATTTCTGTAATAGATTTGCATTTCTCTGCACAAATATTTGAACTTATTGCTATTTTGGGGGGATATATGCCTTTTTTTCCCCCCCGGTCACAGCAGACGAGGTATAAAGTGTGTTTGTGTGCGTGTGTGTATATGTTTAAGAGTGTGTATTATGAGTAAGAGTGTGAGGTTTCAGCATGTATATGTAGTGGTTTAATAATAAATGCCCTTCAAAGAAGGAACACATACCTTCTTCAAAGAAGGAACACATACCTTCTTTAACCATTTGTTTTAAAGTCAGTGGACAAGGTTCATTACAGTAGACCTGATCGGTGTTCACTTGCCCAGATTGTGTATTGTTGAGTTCATCCATAATTTGTCAAAAACAGGTCCGCTCGCTGTGGATTCTGGCCAGTCAGGACCTACCAGCAGTTTTCATCCAGAGGTCCAGTCTAAACCTCCTCCAGCCCTGGTCCAGCACGGCCCACTGTCTCTGACCGCTCGACCCAGACCTGACCACCTCCCCCTGGGCTCCACCGACACCAGAAGCCCCCTGCTCCAAGGAGTCACCGCGCTCACAGGTCTGGGAAGAACTGCACCAGGAAATAACAATAATAAAACATAACACCTGTAGAGCACATTTCAAGATACTCAAAGACGCTTTACACAAAGAGAAAAACAAAAGAAATAATACAGTTAAAGGTTGTATAGAGGATTTTCCAAGGAACGAGAAATCCAGCGACTGTTTGTCCTTTTTCAAATGTTGCGCATGCGTGAAACCCCCCCCCCTCCCCTACAGCTCCCTACGTAGAAACGCCTCCTCCCGCCTCCTCCTTACGCCAGAAACAGGTTTGTTTACAGCCGGTGCACATGACTTATAAACAACTAACTACAGTGTTGGTTAGGCAAGAAGTGAGGAGCGGGGGGAGCGGGTGCGCGGACAAGAAGTGAGGAGCAGGGAGAAGAGCGGAGCGGGGAGCAGGGAGCAGGGAGAGGAGAGAGGAGAGGGGAGCGGTGCGCGGAGATTCCGTGCCCGGAGAAGTGAGGAGCAGGGGAAGAGCGGAACGGGCAGCGGGGACAGGAGCAGGAAAGGGGTGCAGAGAAGTCTGCGCAGAGATTCAGTGCGAATGAACTAGCTACAACACGCAGCAGCAAGCGGACTCTTTCTTTGCCTTGAAAATTACATTTTCAGACATAGGATATCGCTTTCGTGTCCTGAAAAATGTTTGTCTAGCTCTTGGAAATAAAGTACGTTTTCATAATAAGCAGAAGTGACCTGTCCAGGAGTAATTTGGCGACCAATGCGTCAGTCTTTAGACCCTGCGTCTGCTTCAGTTGCGCCATCGCTGGAATGAATCTTTAAGAATCACCTTAGTTTGGCTTCGCTGCTTTTCCCCTTGTCTTCTTCTTTCAGCGACCTCAAAAACGGACTTTCTTTTGGGGCTAACTGCTCCTGGATTCTTGTCTGCCATTGCAACAAACTTTGTGCAAACTGCGAGGAAGATATAGGTCAAAAAAAGCCGCTAAGAACTGTTGCGTTGGTGGAGTAAACAGCGTCTGTGCGTCTTGCGTCTGTGGACTGCGTGACAGGCGTACGTAAACCACGTACCGGCGGCGCGCAGGCAAGTCAGTTACGCTAGAAACGTAGGGAGTTTGATTGACAGCCTGTCAGCTAACAGATAACGAGGCAGTGTCGTTATCTATTGGCAAATGTTTAGCCCCACCACGTCCAGAGTTGATGAATTTTTATCCTCTTTTTTTTGGTCATCATAATTACAAGGCTACTGCATCTCTGTAATGCTATCATGGAACAATTTGAAACAAAATAAATCCTCCATACAACCTTTAATGAAAGGTGGTTTTCGAGAGATGTTTTTTTTTTTTATTCTCTTGTTGCTTCTATATTTTCTAACATTTCTTGATTGATTCTTTTGTTTTGTCAAACTCTTTCAGGAGGCAGAGACAAAAGTGGCAGAGGCATCATAGAAGTGTACGGGGAGCATCCAGGCTGGAGAGGAGCTGTGACCAGTCAGGAGCTCTTCAAAGTCCTGCTCTACTTCTACTCCATCACCAGGTAACCACCACTTCATCAGACATTCATTTATCTTATCTCATTGTAAGTGAAAATTTTGTATTTATTAATTATTTTAATGGAATATGACCTGTTCCAGTGACAAATCTTATCGATCAATACTACTAACACAGTCTGTACCCAGTTTTGAGTAAATAGTACAAATGTATTTGTCTTGCCCCAAATACAGATATATTGTTTAAGCAGCTCAAAATAAGTCTGTGTACTGTCAGAGAATCAGGAAAGGCATTGTTGGCATTCTAGTCATTATTACATCATTGCTCTGGCCTCTCAAGGTTGTGAAATGTGCTCATAAATATATCGTATCGTTTAATGTGATGATACAGTATCGATATCATGGGCTGCTGTATCGATATATCACCAAGAGTATTTTTTGGTATATTTTACGAAATTATTTTGTTACAGAACTACAGTTTTGTTGCTTGTTTAGTGGAAGGAAACTTTTTTACACGATACATGTGACATTTTCACTGTTTTGATGATTAAAGTCTTTATGTTTCATATGAACCCTGATTCATGATTTAGCCTTTATTTTTATTGAACTGTATTGAATCAATTTGAAATATATTGTATTGAATCATATCAAATTGTAAGATCACCGTATTGACACATTTATCATATTGTGGCGTATGTATCGAGGTATGTATCGTATCGGCAACTTCTGAATGACTTGATAAAATGGACTAAGACTTGGGATTCAACTTGGACTTGAAGCTCAGTGACTTGGGACTTGACTCGGACTTGAGGACTGTGACTTGAGGAGACTCAGTGCTTCTCCTAAAAAAAATATATGGTTTTAGAAAATACTTTTCTCTTTAGAGTTGATAAATGTGATACTGAATTTTACAGGAACAAACTGGAACATGTCCCTCCCACTTCTGTTTGTTACTTTGGATGTATCTGAAATGTACTACAGTAATATACAGTACCATACAATAATACACAGTACCATACTATTGAAGAGTACTATCACTCAGGTTTAAGGACTGTATAGGTGTTAGCTCGGATTGTGATATTCGCCCTGGAGTGCCGGTCAGGACACAGGAGACAGGATGCAGATGGTGTATGTAGGAGGTTTAATGAAGCTCAGGCAACATCGCAGAACATTATTGGTTGTATGTGTGGTCTATAAAGAAAAAGAATAAACAAATTAAGTTACCGTACTACAGATTACAGTAATAAAGTAAAAGGTGTACAAGTGTACTACTAAGTATGTAACAAACATAAACAGCAAACATGGATGGGCTAAATAAAAGCACACAATAAAGACATAATATAACTATAAGGAACATACACGGCACGACACACGAAATAGCATTAGCGGCTAAGCTAATGTAAGATCCCTTATAAACATAACTACACAGGTATTGTAGGAATATGAACACATCCCGACATGCGTAAAACGATAACAAAGGACTTATAAAACGTCCACATAGCTCCGAATACCATAAACTTACTTTTGTCAACAACGCACAACTTTAGCTGACGATACGTGTCTGCAAGCCCGAGCCTCGTGAACCAATTAAGACAGCGGTGCCGTGCATTAACTCACAGCACCTCTAGAGGGCGCTCCTGACAAAGCTACTGCCATTCTAACACATACAGTAATATACAGTACCATACAGTACAAACAGAGGGAACTACATAGAACATTTCAGTGCAGATTACCTGATAAATTAACTGTTATTAAGCACTTTTAAATCTGAATTATTTCTATTCTGACCGTAATAATTCACACTAAGATCTTGTTAAAACATTTAAAAAGGAAAAATTTGCATTTCTGCAACTCTTATATAAATACTCATATAAATATACCATGACTTTTCAAGTACAATTTAGTTTAAAATTCATATAAACTGCAAAAATCTAAGCTATATTTGGTACTTTTTTGGTTTAAAGACTTGAAATGACTTGGATTTATCGGCCAGTGACTCAACTTGGACTTGCCTGTTTTTGACTTGGAACTTGACTCAGACTTGAGACTTACTTGAGACTTGCAAAACGACTTAGTCTCACCTCTGCCTACTTATAAACTCACTGCAGTGAATAATTATGATGTTCTGAATGCATAAACTAAGTGCGGAATAACTTTGGATCACTGGAAAATAAAAAGTCGTCCTGTTTTTCACGTTTTAAAACAGTAAAACCGGACCAGCACTTTCAATTCATACCAGTTTAACCTATTTAAAGATTGTAGTTTTGCTTTTTTCAGTCGATGTATTCACAGTTAATCAAACTACTTTTTGCATGTGTTTTTTGTTTTTTCAGGAGAGAAATCCGAGAGGCCGGTCTGACTGTGATTTTTGACGCGAGGAAATCCAGCCCTCAGCCACAGCTGTACAAAGCCCTGATGTCTCTGGAGGTGAGGGATGAACACGGAACAATGCTCATGGTTAATCTCAAACACTGGAGCTCCGTGCACATCCCATAATATCCCGTAACATCCCATAACAATGCAGCCGTTACGTAACACTGTATCTGTATTAGAACGTGTTTGTGCTGATCCCTGCAGGAGCTGTGTCCGCGCTCAGTGCACAGTCTGGTTCTGCTCATCGACAAAGACAACAAACACAGACCGGAGAGGTGTCCGGGCATCCAGGTCAGAACCGACTATTACACAAAGGGTGAAAGGTTAAAGATTAAAGGTGTACTGTGTAGCTTTTCTGGATTGCTGCCTTGGTTGCTCCCAGTTGAAGATAATTTTGCGTTCCACGGTATGGTATTAAGATCTCTTGCATTTATTTAAAACTCACTCCATATAACTTTTAGCCAAAAAAATTTAGTATAAGACTATGTTTACATTGAAACAAATCCGCGTACCACCGTATCACCGTATCGGAAATGATTTGTGTCCAGACACGTCGTTTCTGTGTCCGCAATCCTTCCCTATCCACACAGCTTTAAGCATATTTGTTTACGTTTTACAGAAATGAATCTTAAAACCGCATGGCTCATTTGCATGAACTAAACGCTCAAAAAAAACAGCTCGATATTGTGTCGCTGATGCGGTTCAGCTTCTGTCGGACTAAAGGACACGACTCAGTGGAATATGAGTGTTCTTTCTGTGACAGAGAGGTGTTCTGCTGATGGTGAGTCTCTTCTGTGTTTCTGTCATGTTGGAGATGGTTCATGTTAAACTTTTCAGAGATTATACGTCTGCAGGTCGTACACACAGACACTCGTTTCTATGAATGGACATATATTCTAGCCTTTTAGTGTTTTGGCGGTGAATTACTTGGTGGTGCACAGACTTACATCAGAGTATCAGTGTTTTCAGGCGTCCGCACTATGCTGGATCAGATCTGTCCTCAGATGAATTCGTGGGAGCTGGCGGCACCAGATCGTTCTGTCTCTGGAGCCGTTTTTCATCGGATTAGTGTGAACGAACACTGCATCCACAACAAAAACGACTCGAATACGAACTAGTGTGGACGGGGCCTAAATGTATGTTGTTGTTGTTTTCTTTTTCTTTTACAGTATATTCTCAAAAAACATGAGGGAAAACTTGCTACTTGGATGGTCTTTTTTAATTATGCTTTCATTTACCTTGAAAGTCTCACCGGCTGCTTCAGTTCAATGTGTCATTTGGTTTTCAGTTTGCTGTTGATGTGATCGAATTGCAGATTTTCTTTTTGAAAGCCGTCGGTTTGCACTTAAATGTGAAGTTATTCCCTTCCTCACTGACCTTGTTATAGAAACTCTTTTAAATGTTCATATGATGAACATTTCCTGCTGCAGTCACCTCCATGCTGCTTCTTTATTTTGTCTTGTTTCGATGACGCATGTGGAGATGTGACGCTGGTGGCTCGTGTTGTTGCCAGACTGAATGATTTTCCTGTAAATATTAAGGGCTCTTTATGGTGTGTTTAGCCGGGTTTTCGCCTGGAGCACTAAAGAAATCTGGCACCTTATTGAACAAAGTTAAATAGAAGCTCATGCTGTTCAAGAGACACGAGAATGAACGCGTTCACAGTTTGTTCATCAGGCAGTAATACAGTGTGTTCAGTTCACGTTCTCCCAAGATATGAACGTGTTCATGAACTGTCAGTCAGTGAACTGGTACAGGTACAACAGTGCTTGCCATTTCCACAAACCTAACTCATATTTGGTCTGGAGAAGGGTCTATTCTTGCCTGTTGTTCCTTTGGCTGTAATGTTCAAACATATTTATCTCCTTGGAGAATCTTCTGAAGTGACATGCCACCTCCAGAAAGTTACACAATACACAAGTATAACTATAATGTCTCCTTATCAAAAACAAACCAGGAGAGTTTTCTTGTATTTTTCAGACTGAAATCCTGACATCGATGAAGAGTCTGCTGAAGCTGGTGGAGGCAGGTCAGCTGAGCTCGCTCCTGAACGGGACCCTGCCCCCGGGACGCTGTGACTGGAACACACTGCACCAGGTCTGGACCCGACCGCTGATAGAGTGGAGTAATATGTGAAAACCCCAGAGTCCTGTTCTAAATTTAGTGTGTGTGTGTTTGTGTATGTGTGTGTGTATCTGTGCGAGCAGAAGCTGTTCCCGTTTGTGTGTGACCTCCATGAGACTCTGGAGCTGCTGCTCAGAGCCATCAGTAAACTACAGGAGCCCAAGAGGACCGACTCTGTACAGGTAAATACAGAAATACATTTCAGCCTCACTGAAAAGACTCGATTGTGATCAACCAGTCAATCTCAGAGGAAGTGGTGGAGGCGGGTCTATCTGTTTATGTCAAGTTTATCAAGCCTTAAAGTGACAGTGGATAAACACTCTAGCTCCAACTAGAACTGGCCGCCTGTTACACCCGGTGGTCACACCAGAGCAAGTGAAGTGCACGCTACAATTATCATGAGTACAGGTGTGACAATGAAATGACTCCAGAAAGAAATAGCTGTGTATTCACAGCTTTTGGAGATCAAAATACATCCAGTATGATTCCGTGTGAGTCTCGATGTGATAGTGGGACTGTTCCTCTGTCTCCTCATCAGATTCACATCAGAGTCTCAGGCCTCAGTGTGAACTCACTGCAGGATGTTAATACACAAGAGAGAAAAGATGTTTGTTACACCACACCAAGTGTTTAGCTTCAGCCTGTTCTTTATTGACATGCTCAGTGTTATTATTATATTATTATGAAGAACATTGAGTTGTATAATTTTAGACGTGGATGTATAATAACATAATAATATAAATATGTTCTTGTCTGGGTCGTCTCAGAGTGTGCAGCAGTGCATGCTGGACCAGCAGACTCTGATGAGGGATGTGCTGGAGGACAGCCGATTGGTCAGCGTGCAGCGAGAGGGCGGGGCCATGCTCGCGCGGCTGAGGAAGGAGAGCGAGCTGAGGTACCCTCAGTGTGATGAGTTCAGGTAAACACGGACACTAATGCTAAGCTAACAACATGTGTTTATCTATGAGCTGTCCCCGGTGCTATTTATACTCTCTGGAGTTAGTGCTGCACAACAACCAATTACACTGACCACAAGGACGTGTCAGCTAAAGCCTGAGTACACATGTTGTTCTTCTAATATCTGCATTAAGAGTGAACACACAGAGAACACATGTGAGACTGTTTTAAACACGTCCACGAGCTTCAACATTTGAGAGAAAACATACAGTGATGCACTGGATTTACTGATACCCTGTATAGAGTACATGTAGTACATATTTTTACAGTGTATTTGTTTGTGTATAGTGATGCAGTAGATACGGTGGGCGGCCTGTACAGAATATATACAATACATGTTTTTATGGTGTATTTATTTGTACAGAGTGATGCGGTGGGGAGCCTGTTTATAGTAGTACATGTTTTTATTGTATATTTCCCTTGTCCATAGTGATGCAGTGGATTCTGTATGAATATGTGCATGAATACCTGTTTTTATTGTATATTTCCCTTGCACACAGTGATGCGGTGGACTCGGTGGGCAGCCTGTATAACCAGCTGGAGGAGCAGGTCCACGCTCTGGTGCAGAGGTCCAATTTGTCTCTGGAACATCTTCAGTTCCTGCTGCAACTGCGGGACATGCAAGGACACCTCAGTCAGGTAAATGTCTGTACTGAACTGAGACTGTGTCTTCTTGATAACTACATTCATTTATTTCCTCCACATAAAAATACATATTATATATTACATATTATATATTTTAGCATTAAATTATAGGATATGTCTCTGTGACAAAATTGGCCTTTGTCACATTTTAAACTCACATAAACGGAGTGGAGAAAGGGGGTAGATGAAAACACTTTATTACAGAATAGAGAGTACATGCATTAAGGTTTGAAGGGGAAAACAAGGGGAAAAAGAAATAAATAATTATTCTTGAAATTAATTATAATTCTCTTTTTTCTCCCTTTTTTTCTTCCTTCCCTGTTCCTTCTCCTTCCTCTCCTTTCATTACCCCTTTGTTCCTTTGTTAATTATTTGTCTATTTAGTTTGTTTTATATTTTCTATTTATTCTTTTCCCTTTTTTTTCAACACTAATCTCAAATCCATCCACATGCATGAATTAATCAAAATACAACGTTGAATTAACTAATGATGAGGGAACTCTGTTATAACATGATTGAAACCTTATAAAACTCAGAATTTATGTTATAATAATTTGTATTCCAAGTTTATCATTTTGAATAATCTTGAACTGAAAGAAAAAATGTTAAGATTCTAAAATAAGAGATAAATTGAAATCTGTGGTTGTGTGTGTTTGTGTTGCAGATGCAGCAGTGGTTTGATGAAGAGGGAGAGCGCCACCTGCTGGAGGCTCAGTCTGTGGACGACTCTGGGGAGCACATGGAGCAGATCCTCAACAGCTTCACTGGATTTCTCATCGAGGCCAATGTAAGACACAAACTCTGAATGCACTTTTAGCCTTAGTAACTACACTTCAAAAATGCCTCACATGAACTCAGAGTATTTCTTTATTCTTGTATCAGTATTTCATGAAATAATATAAACAATATGAGTCAAACATTATTAGTGCACTTTCTGTTAAAATAATTCATCGCAGTTTTACAATAGTCAATCCCAGTGTTTTTCAAACTATGGTATGTGTATGGTTTTTGGTGTTTTTATTTAATCTACAAATCCATTTATGTTTTGATCCTCAGTTTCGATTAAACATTTTATGTTTACTTTTAACTCATCTATAGTTTTGTCTCATTATAGACTTAAGGTGTTTTCTGCTTTTAGACCTGGTTTAGTCCTCATTTAGACCTGATAAAGTCTGGGTTTAGATTTGCTGATATGTAAAATCAACTATTATCTGAGGTAGTGTGCTAGTTCTTGAGACCGGTCTTGGTCTCATCTCAGACTCAACCGCATTTGGACTTGGTTTTGTCTCGGTCTTGAAGGCGTTTGGACTCAGACTTGTCACAGACTCGCGGTCTAATTAAAAGTCCTACCCACTTTCTTCACTTTCTTCACAGTTTTCTGTAAAGAGCCAGTGGAAGTAATCTTAAAGAAGCCGTTTCTCAAACTGTGGGTGAGGGTCCAACGATACAAAAGAATGAGAACTTCACACATCAATTACTTGAGATGGGTGCGTTGGAGGAGAGGGAGCAGCCCAAGAACATGGAGAAAAATCCCGCACACCGTCTTACTTGCAAATTGTGAGATTTATTAGGACAAAGGCACTAGGCCTTCGTCAGGCAAACACGAAGGCCTAGAGTTGGGGATTTTTCTCTATGTTCTTGGGTAAGGGTCTAAAAAAGGGCCACAGAGTGTTTCAGTGTAGTACAGTTTGCTTGGCTTATTTTAATCTTAAATGAACATTTATCAGATAGAATGGCGATAGATTTATAAAAACATTTATTTGTATGAGCCAAAATAACTGTAAAATATAAATAAATGTAGAAAATGACTCGATTTGTTCTTGATGGGCCATGGTCTTGGTCTTGTCTCAGTCTCGACCCTCAGAGATCTTGGTCTTGCACTTGGTCTCGGGACCCTGTGGTCTCAGACTGGTCTTGGTTTCGATTAGTGTGGTCTTTACTACAACACTAATCTGAGGTGATACTTGATGTGAAAAGTTGAAGAACCATTGCTCTATTTCATATAGCTTCTTTTTTTAATTTGAGCTAAAAAGGATTAAATTGGAGTAAAACATGTTAAAATCAGAAAATAAAGACCAAACCTAGATACATAGTTGATTATACAACTGAATGAAAATCACATTCTAATGCCTAAATAAAAGTGTTTTAAGGTCATTGTTGCATGGGAATCGTGCGCCTGTGTTCTCAATCGGTATTGAGTATCAAGCCTGTTCCTTAGTTTTGAAATCAAATTTGAAATGTAAGTACTGTGACAACACTAGTGATAAGATTTTCTGCATTTTTTGTATTTATGTGTTATTTTCCCTGCCCTGGTGCTCACAGGACAGGAGACACCACGCTATGTCCCTGGTCTCGGAGGCGGAGCGGCTGCAGCAGAGTGGGACCTCGTACCCGCAGACTGAGGCCTTCAGGGGGTTTGTGGAGCGCTTTAAGTCGGGCCTGGAGGACTTCCTGTGCAGAGCAGAGGCCTGTGGGAGAGAGCTGCAGAGTCTGGTGCACGTCTGTGACTTCTGTGACCAGGTACAGGAGAATAGTGTTGTCAAAAGTGTCAAAAATCTGAAACAAATCAAAACTAAATACTAATTTGAGTAAGTATCGATTATTAAAAAAAAAGTCACATTCACGGGGCAGAAATGAACCTTTCCTGAAACGCTTTAGACTGATCTTGAGCTCCATCAGCACTAGTACAAGACCACATAGACAAGTCTGTCACCTCTGCTCCTGAACGGCATTTTTCCATAATTATACAAAAGCAAGATACAGAACAATAAACCACAGCTTCACAAACCTGATGCGATGTGCAGTAGTTTCATTATTGTGATAGTGATCTAAAGGGGGATTGACTTACTACAAGAGCAAGCGCTGGAAGCACTCTGCGATTAAAGCATTTTCACAAACCCTGTATCGTACAGAAGAGTAATATCTCCATCTCCTCTCTCTTCACAGGCCACAGCTCTTGCCAGTGAATGCATGGACTACTTGGAGCGCAGTCATTCCAGGACCCCCACCAATCTGGACCAGACCCAGGACCAGCCCCCGGTCCTGGACGAGTCCTCTGGAAGCTTCCCCCCTCCTCCTCCCCCCGCAGACCCTGAGCTCTGCGCCCTGCACGGCCTCCTGGACCGGCTGGACCAGTTCAGCCCCGAGCGCTTCCACGAGGTGAAGCTCCAGGCCAGCTCCCTGCGGGCGTCCAGGGGCATGAGGCTGTGGAACGGGGCTTGGCTGCGGTGTCAGGAGGCCAGGCAGCAGCTGGAGGAGAGGATCCTGGAGAGGACCCAGGCCCAGGACACCGGGCACTGTGAGCATCACTACATAGATGTGATGAGCACAGAGGGGCCCGTGGTCAGTGCTGGAGGTCAGACTCTGGTGGTGCAGTCCACACCGGGCCCGGGGCATCCGCAGTGGGACGGGATCGTGTCTGGAGCCCTGGAGCTGGGGGAGAGGAGGTTCACAGAGAGTTTTGAGTCTGGGGCAGTGAAGCCCGAGGAGCAGAACACAGAGAGGGGAGAGGTGCCTCCACAGTCTCCAAGAAGGTACCACCCACAGTCACATACTCACATATGCGGGTTATGTTAGAGAACAAACCTGACAAACTTTACCTGTTACTCACTCTACTAGCTGGAAAATATATGAGAAAATATTTCAAGCCACAGTATGTAATTTTTTATGCCATGTTTTTCTATTATGATTGTGTTTATTCCCCTGAAAAAAGTATTTGGCCCAGAACCTCCTCCTGAAATAGAATATTCAGTATTTATTTTGTACTAGCCTCTCTTTAGTCGAGTCTTACTGTATAAACATTTTCTGGCCCCCCAAGTCTCAAAAGAAGAACAATACACTTTAAATACAGCTTTGAGCAAGATAATAATGAGGAAAACCATTAAAATGTTAATGTGAATGTAAATGATGTTAAAACCTGTTTCTTGTGTCCTTGCTGATTTAGTTTCCTCCTCTCTGTCGTGTGCTCAGGTCGGTGAAGAAGTCGGAGCGTGAGTCCCGTAGGAGGCAGGCTGCGCGGGCTCGCAGTGAGAGGGACGCCCTGGCTCTGTCCCAGGCTCACCCTGTGGGCTGTCAGTGGTTCCCCTGGAGCCGAGGCCTGGGCCTGGGCCGCTCTGTGAGCCAGGACTCCTGCAGTACCGGAGCGTCCACCAGGGGCAGCGCCTCCTCCCCCTCCTGCCGCATCCTCCAGGAGGCGCAGAGGTACCAACTGTCCAGACACGGCAGCTTCTGTTCAGAAGAGTCCTGCCTGAGCGAGAGGGGGGCGGCTGGGGGGAGCAGGGGAGCCGGGGGCGCCCTGGGCCTCAAGAGCTCCAGTCTGCCCATCAACACGTACGAGCAGGGGCTGTGTGCGGCCGACAGCTCCAGCAACTCTATGTGAGTCCACACTATTTAAAGGGAATAAGTTCTTCTGCATTTTTAAGATTTTTCTGACACTTGGTCTTGGTATTTCGTGTTTGACAGCTTAAAGGTTGTATGGAGGATTTTTTTTTGTTTCAAATTGTCAATGATAGCATTATAGAGATGCAGTAGCCTTGTAATTATGATGACCAAAAAAAAGAGAATAAAAATTCATCAACTCTGGACGTGGTGGGGCCAGCTAAACATTTGCCAATAGATAACGACACTGCCTCGTTATCTGTTAGCTGACAGTTCAACTGACTTGCCTGCGCGCTGCCATTACGTGGTTTACGTACGCCTGTCACGCAGTCCACAGACGCAAGACGCACAGACGCTGTTTACTCCACCAACGCAACAGTTCTTAGCGGCTTTTTTTTACCTATATCTTCCTCGCAGTTTGCACAAAGTTTGTTGCAATGGCAGACAGGAATCCAGGAGCAGTTAGCCGCAAAAGAAAGTCCGTTTTTGAGGTCGCTGAAAGAAGAAGACAAGGGGAAAAGCAGCGAAGCCAAACTAAGGTGATTCTTGTAGATTCATTCCAGTGATGGCGCAACTGAAGCAGACGCAGGGTCTAAAGACTGACGCACTGGTCCACAAATTACTCCTGGACAGGAAACTTCTGCTTATTATGAAAACGTACTTTATTTCCAAGAGCTAGACAAACATTTTTCAGGACACGAAAGCGATATCCTATGTCTGAAAACGTAATTTTCAAGGCAAAGAAAGAGTCCGCTTGCTGCTGCGTGTTGTAGCTAGTTCATTCGCACTGAATCTCCGCACACCCTTCTCTGCACCCTTTCCTGCTCCTCTCCCCGCTGCCCCTTCCGCTCTTCCCCCCCTGCTCCTCACTTCTCCGGGCACGAAATCTCCGCGCACCGCTCCCCTCTCCTCTCCCTGCTCCCTGCTCCGCTCTTCCCCCTGCTCCTCACTTCTTTCTCGTCCGCGCACGAAATGTCCGCACACCCGCTCCCCCCGCTCCTCACTTCTCCGCCTTGCCTAACCAACACTGTAGTTAGTTGTTTACAAGTCATGTGCAGCGCACCGACTGTAAACAAACCTGTTTCTGGCGTAAGGAGGAGGCGGGAGGAGGCGTTTCTACGTAGGGAGGGGGGTGGGGGGGGGACTATAAACATACACATGGCTCGCAGTTGAAGTGGTCCCTGTGAAGGCAGTTTGAGAGCTGTGAAGAGTTCAGTTCTAGACTTTTAGACAGTTTGTAGATACACTCATGACATCACAAGGTGAAACAGAGAGTTTGTAGCTCTTGAGAGGGAGACAGACAGACAGGCTTATGCAAATTAAACTAAACACATATAGTCTTTGTGTTTGACCAACGAATGCCAACAAACTCTTACTGGCCTGTGTGCACTTTTTGTGTCTCAAAGCTTTCACTGAAGGACTGCAGGTAATGTCTCTACTCTCTAATGTGTCTGTGCAGTTTTACTTATGCTTTTCTGTCTTGGATACTGTTTATTTTATTTACACACATGAACAGTTTCCATACAACACAGTAAAGCTCGGATCTTTTTCCCTCTGTGTTGTTCTCCAGTCGCCTGCAGCGCGTCCTGGAGGAGCTCTTGTACACGGAGAGAGAGTACGTGCGCTCCCTGGGGTACATCCTGACTCACTACCTCCCCCTGCTGGACCGGCCCGACGTGCCCCAGGACCTGCGCGGGAAAAGGGCCATTATCTTTGGAAACCTGGAGAAGCTCTTTGACTTCCACAGCCACTACTTCCTCCCGGAGCTGGAGGCGTGTCAGGGGGAGCCCACACTGGTTGCACGCTGCTTCCTCCGACATGTACGTCTATCCTCTCTTTTATTTAATTATTTTTATTGCATGTAATTAATTCTATAATTCAAAAAGCATAGCATGCTCCCTTCCTCTCATGCTGGGTTTGTGTTTTATCTCCTCAGGGTGAGAGCTTTGGCCTGTACGCTCTCTACAGTAAAAACAAGCCCAAGTCTGATGTTCTGATCCTCCACAGACGCCATGACATCTTCAAGGTCTGATCACATCCGCTGCTCTCAAAATAGAAGCATAGAAGTTTTGTAGAAGTACATATATATATAAGGTCTATAAAGTTCAGTGAATATTGGGAAGTGGGATGGGTTAAAGTACATTTATTATCCTAAAGGAAAATGCACAAACTCTGAATCTGATCATTTGTGACAAGGTTCGTTGTGGCTCTGTAGTTCTCCAACAACAGCATCAAATCTGCTCAAATCTACGGTTGATGTTTTGTTTAGACAGACACATGCAGTGATGTCATCTTAAGAGCTGTGTTGGTCTAGTCCGGGGGTGGGCAAACTTTTTGGCTCATGGGCCACAAAGGGTTCTAAAGTTTGACGGAAGGGCCGGACGAGGACCGGATGGATGGAGTGGAGAGAAATAAAACCTGTGCTTGAATTTCAATTGAAAATCATTATAAAGCATCACAACAAAATATCTGTGTTTTAAGTCCCACGGTGTTTACGATTTATTGAAATTACTCTTAAAACACTAAAAATTAAACTAATAAATACAGCTTTTTTATTATGAACAGTTACTATTTTCAAGCACTGAAAGTTCTGTTATTTTTCAGGATATTATCATTATCACTCTCCTCCTGTCTTTATTTCAAAAACGGTAGGAGATGCAGATGTTCATATCCTGCTTTTTCTATTCAGTGTGCCTCCCCAGTGTCAAAACTCAACAACGACCAGTCCAAGGACAGAACAATGACAGTGTGCAGGCATGTTATATCTGATGCGCATTGTTTATAATGACATGTTTATAATGACAGCGTACATGCACACCTTAACAGAAATGACATGTAACACGTAAAAGCATTTTTTACATAACAGCAGAGAAACTCACTTTTGATTTCAGTGGGAAAAGTGTTGTTGGTGTCTCTTTTTATCCAGCACATAAAAGTCTGGAGTTAGTTTTGTCGTGGCGATTCTCAGGATGCGTTCATGTGGTGTCGGAACAATCTGAAAAATGACTTTCCCGCTGGAAAAAAATCACATGAACGTCTCCTCATGTCGGAAAAATAACTCGGCAAGTCGGATCTTTCAACACCACATGAATGCAGCATAAAACGCCGCATCTAAACAAAGATCAATGTATCTAGAGTGTGCCATCTATTGGGAAACACTGGAATTGCAGGAAAAATAAAACAGTAACAAGGGTTATTATTAGGATTTATTCAAGTTCAGCAGGCCGGATTAAAAGGCTTAAAGGGCCGCATATGGCTGTAGTTTGCCCACCCCGGTCTAGTCTGTGTGATGTTTTTTTAGACAAATATTTCTGTCATGAATCAGCTATTTGTTCCTATCTTTTATTAAGCTTTTGTAGAGGATTTTTTCCATGTATGTGACCACATCATTCTCCATGTCCTCTGCTTGTCTCACCTGTGTCTGTATGGTCCATCAGAAGAAGCAGCAGGAGCTGGGGGACCACATGGACCTGTCCTCGTACCTCCTCAGACCCGTCCAGAGGATCAGTAAATACAGCCTGCTGCTCCAGGACATGCTGTCTCTGGTGGGCTCGTCTCTGTGTGGGCCTGGGGTCTTTGTGCCTGAGTACACCCGAGCAGACAGGGAGAGGGACAGAGCAGACATCCAGGCTGCAGCCGACCTGGTGCGCTTCCAGATGAGACACGGGAATGACCTGCTCACAATGGACGCCATCAGGGACTGTGATGTGAGTGACTCATGTATGTGCACTGTTCACTTCAGAGGTCAGATTTAGAGCAGAGGCTCGTATAGAATAAAAGAAACTGTAAAAAAGAATGGCTGAATATCTAAATTCACAAATGTTTTGCCCCTGGGTCAGACACTTCACCCCCATTGTTCACTCTAGTCACAGTTATGTCTCTTCTTGCAGCTGGGAGGGCATCAGGGTAAAAATCTGCCACATTATTGTGTGGTTCATGTAAAGAGGGAGCAGCTGCTCTCAGCACAGAGACAGGACCAGGGGCTTGTATAGTTGGTCTGTAGGACACCAGTCACCCTTACAGAGTAAAATTACAGTTACTGTCCTCATGATCACAGACGCTCACTTCTGTTTGTCTCACTTGTTTCACACGAGGCAGTTCAGCAATATATGTGTCTTTAGAACGTGTGAAAACTGCAGTACTGGTTTTAAGTTAGAGGGTTCTGTCTTGTCTTCTGTATGGAGACAAGCACGGACACCATCAGGCCAAGGAGCAAGTCTTTATTATAGACTTGTAATATATTTTTGGCAATAAAATCACCTGTAATGGAATAAATGCAACAAAAGTTGAATACTAGGAACATAGTAAAGAAAAGAGACCACCTTAGAGTAAATATAAGTGTAAAACTCTTCCCGTGTCCCTCAGGTGAACCTGAAGGAGCAGGGCCAGCTGATCCGTCAGGACGAGTTCACGGTTCTGTTCAGGAAGAAAAAGTGTGTGCGGCGAGTGTTTCTGTTTGAGGAGCTCATCCTCTTCAGCAAAACCAAGAAAACTGACGTGGGCAATGACGTCTATGTCTACAAGCAGTCCTTCAAGGTAACACACACACACATACACATACACACACACAGCACACATCGGCCTCATTTTGAGCTGTTTGTACAATATTTCTCTACTGGGTCAAACCAAATGTACTTTACATAAAAAATCAGGTACAGCATGTTCTTTAAAAGATTCATTCAGCCTACTAACTTCAGTATGTACCTTTCTGATGGCACAAACTAACCTTTCATTTGACACTTGATATAAATGTACTTTTGTTCTTGTTTTGTTCCAGACCAGTGACATCGGTATGACCCATAACTCGTCCCTGAGCGGCCTGTGCTTTGAGATCTGGTTCCGTCGGAGGAAGTCTGAGGACACGTACACGCTGAGAGCCGCCAGTGTGGAGGTGAAGAGAGCCTGGACCATGGACCTGGAGAGGATCCTGTGGAACCAGGCCAACCACAGCAGAGGTACAGCGTAATGATAATGAACTGTGGACTGTATAAAGAAGTGGACAAAAGGAGTGTGAGGAATCCATGTAGCATTCGTTCATTTGTTTTTCAAAATAAAACCAAAACTCACTTTCTTCATTATTTGTCTCCAAAACCAAAATGAAAAAACGGATAACGACCGTTTCCCATTTTCGTGACTTAAACTGTGATGCCGGACTTTTGCGCCACTTACGGACTGAACCAGGACTAAAACAGGACAGAACCAGGACTAAAACATGACTAAACCAGGACTAAAACAAGACTGAACCAGGACTGAACCAGGACTAAACCAGGACTGAACCAGGACTGAACCAGGACTAAACCAGGACTAAACCAGGACTGAACCAGGACTAAGCCAGGACCAAAACAGGACTGAACCAGGACTGAACCGAGACTAAGCCAGGACTAAAACAGGACTGAACCAGGACTAAACCAGGACTAAAGCAGGACTGAACCAGGACTAAGCCAGGACTAAGCCAGGACTAAAGCAGGACTGAACCAGGACTGAACCAGGACTAAAACAGGACTAAAGCAGGACTGACCCAGGACTAAACCAGGACTAAAGCAGGACTGAACCAGGACTGAACCAGGACTAAGCCAGGACCAAACCAGGACTGAACCAGGACTGAACCAGGACTAAGCCAGGACTAAACCAGGACTGAACCAGGACTGAACCAGGACTAAGCCAGGACCAAAACAGGACTGAACCAGGACTGAACCAGGACTGAACCAGGACTAAAACGGGACTGAACCAGGACTGAACCAGGACTGAACCAGGACTAAAGCAGGACTGAACTAGGACTGAACCAGGACTGAACCAGGACTAAAACAGGACTAAACCAGGACTAAAGCAGGACTGAACCAGGACTAAGCCAGGACTAAGCCAGGACTAAAGCAGGACTGAACCAGGACTGAACCAGGACTAAAACAGGACTAAAGCAGGACTGAACCAGGACTAAACCAGGACTAAAGCAGGACTGAACCAGGACTGAACCAGGACTAAGCCAGGACCAAACCAGGACTGAACCAGGACTGAACCAGGACTAAGCCAGGACTAAACCAGGACTGAACCAGGACTAAGCCAGGACCAAAACAGGACTGAACCAGGACTGAACCAGGACTGAACCAGGACTAAAACGGGACTGAACCAGGACTGAACCAGGACTGAACCAGGACTAAAGCAGGACTGAACTAGGACTGAACCAGGACTGAACCAGGACTAAAACAGGACTAAACCAGGACTAAAGCAGGACTGAACCAGGACTAAACCAGGACTAAAGCAGGACTGAACCAGGACTAAGCCAGGACTGAACCAGGACTGAACCAGGACTGAACCAGGACTGAACCAGGACTGAACCAGGACTAAAACAGGACTAAACCAGGACTAAAGCAGGACTGAACCAGGACTAAACCAGGACTAAACCAGGACTAAAGCAGGACTGAACTAGGACTGAACCAGGACTGAACCAGGACTAAAACAGGACTAAACCAGGACTAAAGCAGGACTGAACCAGGACTAAACCAGGACTAAAGCAGGACTGAACCAGGACTGAACCAGGACTAAGCCAGGACTGAACCAGGACTGAACCAGGACTGAACCAGGACTGAACCAGGACTAAAACAGGACTAAACCAGGACTAAAGCAGGACTGAACCAGGACTAAACCAGGACTAAACCAGGACTAAAGCAGGACTGAACCAGGACTGAAACAGGACTGAAACAGGACTGAACCAGGACTGAACCAGGACTAAACCAGGTCCGGGACCAGACCAGAACCATCCCAGGACTGAGACCGGAACCAGACCAGGACTGAAATCGGGACCAGACCAGGACTGAGACCAGGACATAAACTGGGACTAGGACCAGGACTGAGTCCGGGACCAGACCGGAACCAGGACCAGGATTGAGACCGGGATCAGACCATGACTCAGACCAGGCCTTAGACCAGGACTGAGACCGGGACCAGATCGGGACTGAGGCCGGAACCAGACCTGACTGAAAATGGTTTAGACCTGGTTTAGTCCTGTTTTAATCCTGGTTCAGTCCTGGTTTAGTTCTGTTTTAGTCCTGTTTTAGTACTGGTTTAGTCCTGGTTCCGTCCGGCCTCGCATTTTAAGTTACGGAAACGGGAAACGGCCGTTATCCGTTTTTTCCATTATTCACTTAAACACAAAAATGAAAACTGAAAAAACGAATCGTTGTCTGTTTTTTCATTTGGATTTTGGAGACACATAATGAAGAAAATTTTTGTTTTTTTCATTTCCTTATTTTTGATTTTATATTTAAAGATGACTGAACGAATGACACGAGACAATGAGAAAACTTGTATATGTTTTCTGTTTGTAGTTTAAAGCAATGGTTCACTCAATACCGTTTTGAAACCAAGAAGAGGACAGGATACTTACCCTTCCTTTCAGTTTTAACTTGTTGGACACGACAGATAAATACATGAAAGGGCACAAACATGTACGGTACTAAAGTTAAAATATATCCAAGGCCAGTGTGCAGGTTGAAAGGTGATTTAAAAGCGGTTTGCCCTCTTTGTGTTCTTTGTGTTGGCACGACATGTTACACGGCTCACATGACGAGGCGCACTCTGGTTTGGGTCACACGGTGAAGGGTGAAGAGCACTGCCACAAACTGACCACAAGAGGCGCTGTGGAGTCACATTCCCCTGTGGTCCAGTGTCACCAGACGAACAGGTGACACAGACGAACAGACACAAAATGAAGAAGAAGAAACAGAAACTTACTTTAGATCTGCTCTGTGGTTTTAATTGGAAATACAAAAAAAAGCACAAAAAATCCCCAAAACTGCCGAACAAATACAGTATGACTAAAACCTGTAAGAATCGTTATCATCATTATCGTTTCACTTGTGATTTTAATTCAGATTCAAGACCAGCTACAAATTTTGTCAGTGAATTTTTGATCAGGTCAAAGAGATGTAACACCCAAATGTCAATTATGTGCATTTCACTGCATAATAATAATAATAATAATAATAATAATAATAATAATAATAATAATAATAATAATTCTTTATAAAGCACTTTTAAAAGCAAAGTTTACAAAGTGCTGTACAAAAACCTATGAATAGCAAAGAGAAAGAACACAAAAACAGACAATGATGCATACAATTTAAACAGTTTTAGTACTTTATTTTTTCATCTTATTGTTATTGTTATTATTATGAATGGAAACTGTTTGTTTGTGAAATGTGCTATAGAAATAAAGTGGATTGGATTCAATAATTCTATTTGTTATAAAAGAAATAGAATAAAAATAAATAAGGAATAAAATCAAGCCAACCGATAAAAATGAGTTTTAAGAAGTGATTTAAAAGATGATACTGATTAGGGGTGGGTGATATCTCGATATTTGAATTATATAGGGAGATATTTTTAAGCACAATTTTGACATATCGTATATATCGATATAATGCTTGTATTTAATTCTGATTTCACAGCTATGATTGTTTGCCCTCTCTGTGTGCGCTCTCGCCTCCCTGATTCTGCTGCTTTTCTCATTCACTCCTCACTACCGCCGTGAATGCTGAAAGTTGGTGCCTGGTGGTGAGCTTCTCGCACCACGAACCTTTTCCACCATTTACAGACAAAACCATCAACAGCACATCCTCATATTCCACTGAGTCGTGTCCTTTAGTCCGAAAGAAGCTGAACCGCATCAGCACAAGGATCGAACTGTTTATACAAATGAGTCATGTGCTTTTAAGTTTTGTTTCTGTAAAACATAAACAGGTGCACAAAACTGCATTAAACACATTATAATCTCAAACGTGCTGATGTGGCTCTACAGTCGTTATGCTTTAAATCAGGCATGTCCAAACTACGGCCTGTGGGCCAAATGTGGCCCTCGGACAAATGTTTCTTGGCCCTCGGGCTTCCAGGTGACTTGGCCCAAATTACCTTGCATCAATTAAAAATGAACTTTTTACTGCAGGTTTTTTGAAAATCTACCTTGATAAAGCTAATATTGAATATTTAGTGTGTGGTTTTAAGGATCTTTGAAATATGTGCATGTTTAACACATTAGAATGAGCCATCAGTCTTTATTCATTCTATTATTCTCTGTATTGAACACCAGTCTACGGCCCTCGATCTGCCCTCTGCTTGGTCTGTGTTTAGATATGTGGCCCTTGATGAAAAACGTTTGGACACCCCTGCTTTAAATGTTGTAAAATTTAGTAATGTAAAGTTTATTGATGCAGAAGATTTTAATGAATAATCTGCTGCAGTGTAACTTGTACAATAGTGTTTGGAAAAGTTCGGAGTGATCTGAGCTGGATTCTGGATTGTGGGAAACCTCAGAGCTCCTGACGCTGGTGAGGAACATGCGTCTGTTAAAATAAGGAGTTAATGCAATGATGAGCTTGAGTTGAGTTGTTTTATTTATGAATGAAAAGAAGACAATATGTATTATTTATTTTATTTTACAGTTAAATTATTATTTGTGTAATTAGGGATTTTTTGTAATCTTAAATGTGGCAGAAGCACTTTGTCCCTACATGAACTGCCTACCTCTTGCACTTCAATAAAAAGGACCTTGTGGAATTTGGCAGATTTGTTTTTGCAGTAGTTTTTTGGGGGGTATTTTTCCCATACAGATATTGAGATATATGTCGTGTATCGAGATATAGCAAACTATATTGAGTTTTTTTTTTTTCTCAGGCAGGTCATTCCAAAGCCGAGACCGGAGTCTGGACTTTGAAAAGCTACAGAGGAAATGTAACTTGGTACAAGACCTAAACAAGCTTTAAAAGTGATCAGTAAAATCTTAAAATCGATTCTAAATCACACAGGCAGCCAGAGAAACGAAGATAAAACAGGGGTCATGTGTTGGTGTTTGTAGACGGTATTTTCTGTATACTAGTGTTTATTGTGTGAATTCTAATGTTATTGTTCTCTAAAAGTTTATCATTTCTTTACTGGGATCTTAAATGTGAATAGTAACGTCATGATTGTGTTGTGATTCTCGTGTTTCAGAGATGCGTTTACAGGAGAGAGTTTTCATGGGAATCGGACACAAACCGTTTCTGGACATTCAGCCGAGCGACGCTGCTATCTGTGACCGGGCGGTGAACTGCAGCCTGCCCGGAAGAAGTAAGGCTCCTCTACTCCTCTACACAGACACTATCACTCAGGGACTAATACACTTTAAAGTCATCATTTGGTGGTTCACTTTAAATCTCAAAATCAATGGAGTGCACAGTACAGTATTTGTAACTATAAAGGTTAAAGAAAAAGTATTGGCTTTAATTCTCTTTTAAACATGCTTTTGGTCACTATTTCTCAGGTTGCTGTTTTTGAAATACCACAATTTTCTCCACAAACCAAAAAATCTCCCGTCTTATTCTACATAAAAACTGCAAACCCTATAGCAGGAGTCTCCAATGAGTAACTCTCCACCCCCATCCAAGTGACTCACGAATGGATTTTGAAATTATACCACTGTGCTGAATAATAAAATTTTGTTAATTACATGCCTATGACCATTGTAAATGTATAATTTTAAAACCCAACTTTGTGCACTGATAAATGGACGGTGGTTTATGTTTTATCCGCATCTACCTAAAGGCTCACCTTCTTTCTTATAATTGTCTCAGTTTCTTACGGCCTCTTAAATGAGTAGCTCGATGGCATTTTTGTTTAATAAAGGCAGCTCACCGGAGGAAAAAGGCTGGAGACCCCTGCCCTGTAGTTTACATCTGTACAAACCTGTTCTGAAATGTGATTCTTATATTAGTTTGTTTGCAGTTCATATTTCAGTCTTTTTTTTTTTTTGGTTTAAAATGGGAACAGAATCATATTTTTTAGGATGCACTCACATTAACCTAATCAAACCATGCAGACGCACAGATAGCCTAGACCTAGAAAGCTTTGGTCCGATAGTCCAGTGTGAGCCTGTGATGCCTGGGCATGTTTGGGACTTTCTTGTATGAGTACACGCACCACTTTACTATACGAGCCCTGTTGTGTGCTGATGTTCCTCATATGAGGGAAACAGTGAATAAACTCTTCTAAAAAAAACACACACACAGTGAATCCATGCTTATGTTCAATAAGGATTATGACAGAGACAGAAGTTTTTCAGCCTCCCTCCTCCTGCTGTCCTCACTCCTCCTGCTGTTATTATATCCACAAACTCACAGAGGAACACACATCACAAAAGGACTCATATGTGTCTCACTGTTTAATACATATTTCATGCCACTGGACTTATTTTCTTCATTAAATCAATAGCCACGCTGAGCAGCATGTAAAGAAACAGAGTGATGATGCTGTCAGGCCGGAGCAAAGGTCGTCCCAGTGTGAGTGCACCCTGAAACATTATTAAAACATGAATTGTTTCGGCTGCTCACTAACGCTCTTCCTCAGAGTCACGTGATGTTACTGTGATGTGTTCGCTCAGCTGGTTAATACAGGTTTTAGAGCTGTTTTCCTACCAATGGAGGCAGGACGACAGCGCCACCTGCAGGACTGCACTCTGAGGAAGAGTGCTAGTGAGCAATCGAAACTGTCAGGTATGAAAACAAACTCTTGGTCTGTAAAAAGAACCTAATAAGATAAAATATCAGAAGACCAAATGAATCTCATTGGACTACAACTCCAGGTATGTTTTTGACAAGGGAAAACAGAATAACATGAGTCAGTTTTGCATAATATGTGTTCTTTAAGTCAAGTATCTGCTCTCTGAGGTTAATACTAACTTGTGCAGCTGCTCCTCTAACCTCTGCGCCTCTGTTGCTGTGTGTGGTCAGTCCCTGTGGCCTGTTGTTCACACAGGGGCCTAGTTCCTCGCCCAAACTCCATCGGCTCCGGAAGCACCGCCTCCACCACCCTCAGCCAGTCCTCGTCCTCGTCCGGCCGCGGGTCCCTCCCCCCCGCCGGTTACCACGGAAACGCCTGTCCCGGTGCGGAGCCTGGGGTCGGCGGGCTCGGCTGCTCCTCTCCCGAAGCTGCGGCGGAGAACGAGCTCAACAACCTCCACCTGCACCAGCACCTCCTGCACCGCTGTGAGAGCTGGAGACCCCCACTGCCCCTCTGTGAGTCTGTGAAATACAGAAGAAACACTAGAAGAAATACTGTCACTGTGTTTATTTATTTACCTGAAAATGCTTTTCACACATAAAGAGTTGACTGTGTATTAGCAGTATATGCCCCATTGCAAGAAGGTCACAAGTTTAAATGAGTTTTTACCAATACTGAATCCAGAGAAACTTTTTTGGACCTATATATAGAGACTATTGGTGTATCGGTACAAAAATCATGGTTGGGTACGTACCACAGTTTTGAAATCACGGTTCGGTTCATTTTTGGTACAGTACGGGAACAAAATGCAAAACCATTTGTGTGTTTATTAAACCAACAATTTGTTTAACATTATACAAACGGGAAAATAAAATAAATGCAAAGTGCTGCTTGGTAAAACTAATAAGTTAAATAAAATGTTCTCAAATAAGCAACAAATGTTTGAAATATTACAATTAATAAATTCCTTGTAAACAGTAAACAAATCTTTTTAAAAAGTAAAGAGCAGCACTAACACTATGAAGGATGAAGTTTTACTCAGTCGTGATGTTTTTGGCCAGAAAAAACAAATTGTCCACACTGTCTGCAGTAAGAGCAGATCTGCTGCAGTTACAACGTCCCCAGTGGTTGAAAATATCCTTTCAGTAGGGACAGAGTTTTGCGAGGATTCACGTGGTTTGGAGGGACGTAGTCAAGGCGGCCGCTATAACTATAAAGCGCTGCGGGAAACACTGTCCCAATCACGGACAAGTTTCCTCATGAATATTAAAGAGCCAAGCCTCTGTGCACATGTAGTGTTGTCACTCGTGCGCAAATTATATGAACTGACCACAAACTCACAGACTTGTTTTTCTGAAAACTGGATAAGAGAGTGTCTATATTTATTCTTTAGGCAGCTGGTTGACCCAAACTAAAATAAATGCACTAAAATCCTAAGTTCTTCTCTCAAACTGAAAATACTCACATGTGGTGATACAAGAAGTGCTCCACTATGTTTTCAAACTCATTTTCTATAGAATCATTTGGATGATTTCAACTCTGGAATTTCTAATCTCTACTGAATGAAAGGTAAAAAGTAACTTGGTGTGTTTTTGAGGAGGTAACAAAATTATAACATAGTTTAAAGCTCACAAGAGTAAATTTTGTATAATATTGGACTTTTACTGTTTGTTTGTTTGTTTGTTTATTTTTTTCCAGTGGACAGCACAGACTCTTCGGGGGACTGTGCTCCTGTCTTCCGCTCTGACGTGAGCTGTCTGTCTGCGTTGGGGGCAGAGGTGGTGGACTCTCCCTCCTCCCTCCTCTCCCGCCGGGGCTCTCTCTGCAGGACCCCCAGCCTCAGGACCCCCAGCTCCCCTGCCCTGTCCCGGAGAGGACCAGCACCAGTGCACAAGTCCCAGAGTCTGCCCACTGTCCAGGTAATACAGCTACATGGGCTATGCTTATATTTTTTTACCTATTACCAGCATCTCCAAACTATGGCCCAGGGGCCAAATGGGCCCTCAGACAAACTGTTTTGTTGCTATTACCTTAAGCCTTACTTTAACCTTAGTTTCAGTTTTAAGTTTTTGAGAATCTGCCCTGATAAAAGCAATATATAAAATATTTACAGCATCCTTTTGAGGATCTGAGCCTCCAGAGTTTTATTCAAGCTTAGAGTCTCAAAAGCACACACTAAATATTTACTATTGCCTTTATCGAGGTCAATTTTCAAAAAAACTATAAGATAAGAAATGGTATTTATCCCACGAGGGGGAATTCAAAAGTTGTAACAGCAAAACACAACAACAGCAAAGCTTGTGTGTGTAGAATCCCTGTTGAGAAATTTAACTTGTCCACTGGACAAATGCTTTTTGATCTAATTAAACATTTGTCCAGTTGACAAATTGAATTTCTCCTTTGTCAACAGCAAAAGATTAAAAAATACTAAACCTTTAAGCATTTTAAATACAAGGCCATGGACTAAACTCACTCTGACTTGTTTTTCAGGGAGACAAATCTGGCGTGGGAAAATCCACTGAGGTGTGAGGATGGTGACCTGAGGTGAGGTCATATGATGAGCGTCTGTGTTTATAACAATAAAAACATCACAGGTCACAGATCATAAACAACTGACTCATGTGAGATTTAACCATGTTAGAATGTTGCTGACTCATCAAAAACAGCACTGAAACTGTGTTTTGTTTCATTCACACATGTTTGAGTAAAACTTTATTATCAGTCTGTCGACATCTCTAAAGCTCAAAATGCTCTGATCCACCTTGTGATGTCATGAAGTAGTAGTTTTCAAGTTAAGGCCCTTTGGTCGACTCTGACCTGCCCCTTTAAACTCATTTGGAATTAAAAATAAACATATTTTTTAATTTTACCTCATGCATGGGTGTTTTTAATGACATTTTTTATAAGACAACCTCACTTTTTCATTACTTAATCATAACATAAACTCTTTCCAGTCTGAGCAGCTCGTCAAAACAAAAATATTTACTGTTTTTTTATACAGAAATACAGTTAATATTATGCAGAATTGAGTGAAAGATTTCTGTTCGGCCCTCCACAATATTTTCTGTTTCTCATGTGGCCCTATTGAAAAAATAATTGCCCACCCCTGCTCTAGTGAATGTGTGTGGAGTTTAAAAACACAGTGGAGCACTTCCTGTATTACCACATGACATCACAAGGTGGAACAGTGTTTTTTTTTTTTTGTTTGAGTGAAGAAAAACTCAGCCTAAATGTGCAGGTGTGTTTGTGCGTTAAACATGTGTGAATGAAACAAAACACAACTCCAGTTCCGTTAGTGATCAGGAAAAAAACTTTACAAAACTGTGATTTCAATTTAACTCATGACATTTTTTATGATTTTTACAGAACTGTTTTGGTCCAGAACCGGGCAGGATTTGTGAAGCTGGACTTTTTTTAATTTACTGTGTGCCAGTGACACACTTTTGAAGACGATGCTGCACAGTTATTCAAGTTTTTTTTGTTTATTTTGTGTTTTAATTTCTCTCTTTTCTTTTATCACTCTCAAGTCATACTTTCAGTTTTTATCTACACACAAAATCACTGGCTTATTTTATTTTATTTTATTTTTTTTTTTTTACAGAATCCACAATTTTTTCTATAAACTCATGCAGAAATGTCAGTCCTTTGCTACGACATCAATATACTTCAAATATAAATCATATACAATCATATATTTTGGATAAATATATGTGATTTATTGTTTTATTTGATTCTTTATGCTGTGTTTTTGTCTCTTCTGCAGGTTCAGCTCTAAATTGCGCATGTGTTTTTGTCCAGTTTGGGATCATTTTATTATGAATTTTGTGTCAAATTATAATTGTGTTTTATTTCTGCTGCTCCAGTGCTGTTGTTAAATTGTTTTCAAAAGGGTGAGACCACTCTGTAAACTCTCACGTTACTGAAATCATGAGAATATTTACAGGAGACGTTTTATTTAAAAATTTTTTTTTTCAAGCAGAATAATCACGCTGAATCTTATTTTCAGAGCAAACAGAAACCACAGGGAGAACATGCAAAGTTTTAAAAAATTGTATTCATAAATTTTAGTTCAAGTTTAATTAGATGCTCTGAGGAGTAGAGTTCTGATCTGGTCAGGTCTAAATCAGGTCTAGACCAGGACTACAGCAGGTCTAAACCAGTTCTAAACCAGGTCTAAACCAGGACTACATCAGGTCTAAACCAGTTCTAGAGAAGGACTTAATCAGTTATAAATCAGGTCTAAACCAGGTCTAAACCAGGTCTAAACCAGGACTACATCAGGTCTGAAGCAGGTCTAAAGCAGGTCTAAACCAGGACTACATCAGGTCTGAACCAGGTCTAAACCAGGACTCAACCAGGTCTAAACCAGGTCTAAACCGGGATTCAACCAAGTCTAGACCAGGTCTAGACCAGGACTCCATCAGGTCTAAACCATTTATAGACTGGGACTTAATCAAGTCTAAACCAGGTCTAAACCAGGACTCCATCAGGTCTAAACCAGGACACAGTTAGATCTAAACCAGGACTCAGTCAAGTCTAAACCAGGTCTAGACCGGAACTTAAACAGGTCTAAACCAGAACTACATCAGGTCCAAACCATGTCTAGACCAGGACTCAATCAAGTCTAAACCAGGACTCAAATCAGGTCTGAACCAGGACTCCATCAGGTCTAAACCAGTTCTAGAGAAGGATTTAATCATTTATAAATCAGGACTAAACCAGGTCTAAACCAGGCCTTAAATCAGGTCTGAACCATGATTCAACCAGGACTAAACTAGGTCTTGACCAGGTCTAGAACAGAACTCCATCAGGTCTATACCAGGACCCCATCAGGTCTAAACCTCCTCCTTTTCTACCAAATCTTTCTGTATCAGTCTGAGTCTAGTCGTGTTCCTCTCAGTTCTTATTGTAAAGAGGAAGCAGGACGTGTTTCTGAGTGAAATCTAAAAACAGACGAGTGATGCAACAGTCAGACAGACCACACGGGGGCGCGCTGATCCACAAGTCAGCGGATTTATTTCTTTTAGTTAAGTTGATTTGTTGAATATTGTGATTTAAAATGCCCAAATTACAACATAATAATCTACAGGGTCATAGATCATAATTATACATCAAACACAAGCACAATCGTTTTTAAATCTCAACTGAACAGGTTTTTTTGCCCTTCCTCTGACTAGAGTGTTAAAAATGTATTGTTTATGAAGTGTCTTGCTCAGGGACACACCACCAGGATACACGCAGGCACAGTTTGAATCAGCTGTGGTCTGGTTGATGGTCCATATTTTGTGTTTTCTTAATATTTTTGTCAATGATTTTGTAACAGTGCGATTAGAATAATGCGGAAGCCCTGAGCGGCAAAAGAAAAAAAACATTCACATAATTTTTTTTTTTTTTTGCACCAACAACTCTAAAAAAATTAAAGAATTATTTAAAAAAACAAAACAAAAGAACTTTGAAAATAGAGCCCAAATGACGTGCCTGGTTTTTTTTGTGTGTTGTTGTTTTTGTTTTTTTGCACCAACAACAACAACAAAAAAAGACAAAAAGACTTTGAAAATAGAGCCCAAATGATGTGCCTCCCCCCCCACCAACAACTTAAAAAAATTATTATAGAAAAAAAATAAATTTAAAAAAATGTTAAAAAAAAAAAAAGACTAAAAAATAGAGCCCAAATGACACACCTCGTTTTTGTATTTTTTTTTCTCTTTTGCCGCTCAGGGTTTCCATAGAATCATGTAAAACCATAAATATTTTTGACTAATATCATTAATTATCAGAAATAGTTCAAATGAACTAAAGGGAAATTACTTATTTTTATCACAATATAACTTCTAAAGATGATTATTATTTGTGAATTTCAATTTGAAGATTTATTGTCATTTATTTTGTTTTTATTTGTTTGTTTATTTCATATTTTTTTGTTGTCACAGTTCCTTTTTCTCTCAGATGTAAAACTCTTCTTCTCTGTAGCACTGCTGGTTCAAACTTGACAATACTTTTACAATACTTTTACAATATTTTAACACTATTTTTACATAACTTTTACAATATTTTTATCTGTAATCCACATTTTCTTACTCCCCTGCAGACTGAAAGTGCCTTTGTTTTCACCTGACGTACATATGATTTATTTGTTGTGAAAATACAGTAATATATTTTAACTTAAATACATAATTTATGGAAAAAAAACAAATGTGTTGAGTTTTTATTTTAATGTGGAAAGAAACGGTTAGAATTGAAAGTGTCTTATCAGGTATTTCACTGACTTAAAGGTGGTACTTTTGTATTTTTAGGTTTGAAATAGAGGTTTATATTGTGGAATATTCTAGACAAAGCAATGACGTTTCCATGGAGACGAGCAGGTGGTGGATCCTCTGCTAGAATGTTACGCAGTGCACCTTTAAACTTCTATTTTTGTGTAAATAAAGTCAGTCAAGTCTAAATCAGGACTTCATCAGGTCTGAACCAGGTCTAAACCAAGTCTAGACCAGTACTCAATTGGCTCTAAACCAGGACTCAACCAGGTCTAAAGCAGGACTCCATCAGGTCTGAACCAGGACTCCATTACCTGTCCACCCAAAACCAAACAATTTGACAAAACTTTGGGGACTGTCTGGTCAGACAAGGAACCCCACCAGAACTAAACCAGGACTAAACCAAGACTAAACCAGGACTAAACCAGGAATAACCAGGACTAAACCAGGTTTCAACCAGGTCTGAACCAGGACTAAACCAGGACTAAATCAGGACTATACCAGGTCTAAACCAGGTCTGAACCAGGTCTGAACCAGGACTAAACTAGGTCTAAATCAGTCCAGGTCAAAAACAGGACTCAACCTGATCTAAACCAGGACTAAACCAGGACTCCATCAGGTCTGAACCAGGTCTTAACCAGCTCTAAACCAGTACTCAATCTGGTCTAAACCAGGACTCAACCAGGTCTAAGACAGAACTCAACCTGATCTAGACCAGGTTTAAACCAGGTCTAAACCAGGACTTCATCAAGTCTAAACCATGACTCCATCAGGTCTAAACCAGGCCTAGACCAGGTCTAAATCAGTGCTCAACCAGGTCTCAATCAGGTCTAAGACAGGACTCGACCAGATCTAAACCAGGTCTAGACCAGGACTCAATCAGGTCTAAACCAGAATTAATCACTAAATCTAAACCAGGACTAAGTTTACCTGGTCACACAAAACCAACCACTTTGACAAAACCTTGGGGACTGTCTGGTCAGGCAAGGACTAAACTAGAACCTAACCAGGTCTAAACCAGGACTCAGTCAGACCTAAACCAGGACTCAGTCAGCTCCTTCTTTCCTCAAATCTCTCTGTATCAGTGTGAGTCTAGACGTGTTCCTCTCAGTTCTGACAGTAAAGAGGAAGCAGGACGTGTCTCTGAGTAAAATCTAAAAACAGACTGAATCTAAAAACGATGCAACAGCGGGACGGACCACACGGGGGCGCTGTGATCAGGGTTCACACACTTTAAATATCTGGGCTCAAACTGCGCCCCGCGTCTTTAACTCACCTCGTCCTTCACGGAGACACGACGCTGCTGCACCATGAGGCCCGGTGAGACACTTTTATGCACTTTTAAAAATTGTCCACATGGTTTTTATTAAGTTTTTTTAAGATTTGAAGCGATGAAGTTGTTATTGGAGACGTGGAAACTGAACTATTTATAACTGGCGTGAAAGTGTGAAAAGGATACGGGTATTTGATATCGTTGAGGTCAAAATAGTGACAGACCAATCACATTTAGTGTTGACACGAATGCCAGCGCTAATTTATTTATTCATAAATTATATTAAGATGAAATAATTACGGTTTATAATTAACACTGTCAAAATATATCTTAATAAAATATTTATTTTACTATTGACAGTTTGAAGTACAGTTATAACCTGTAAAATATACTTACTTTACTAATAAGTAAATCATATTATATTCAAATGTGGGTAATTTTGTGTAGATACCGTAAAGCAGATGTGTCAAACTCAGGCCCGGGGGCCAGATTTGGCCGTGATATAATTATATTTGGCCCGCGAGATCACATCAAATCTGTATTAGAGCTGCCCGCCGACAACAGAGACAATATTTATTTAAAATTTTGTTATTATTTTATATTTTGCTTGTTCTGGATTCAATGTTTAAGCAAAACTGTTATGAAACATTTATTTTAATAAGAAAAGGTTTAACATTACAGATCTCCAAAGAAGAGAAAACATGCAGATGTGACAGATAAAAAATTGAAATTTTTCAATAAATATTTAGTTTGGCCCACGACTTAGTCCCAGTTTTTAATTTTGGCCTCTGTGAATTTGAGTTTGACACCCTGCTGTAGAGTGTACAAAGATTACATTACATTAAAATTTAAATAGAAATAAATTAATTAATTAATTAATTAATTAAAAAGGCATGTAAAATCCCACAAAATGTGTTATATGGCAAAAAAAAAAAAGTTATCAGTTGAAACCTATATTAAGTCAACACGTTGATTATATTTATTAGTATATTATTATTATTAGTGTATCTCAGTAAATAACTGCGAGCGGTCGAAGTCATTTGCGGACAGGAGTTCTCAGGTTTGAGTTTCTGTAGAGGTGTTTCTGTTTCTCTCAGCTGTTTGTGTGACTGTCATAAATTTAGATTTTACTGTGTGTCTGTGAACGTGTCTCTCTGCGCCCACATTTTACAAACATTAAAGGCGTTGTACGGGCTGTAGGTCGTGGATTAGGCCGATAGAAAAAGAACTGAGCAACAAAACACGAACACACAGCATGAATCTAAGGCTGGGCAACCGATCGAATGAATTACATGAATTTGTGTTTTTTAATAATGAAGATTTGGAAAAAATTACAAGGGTTAAGGTGCAATTACAATTTTATATATATAATATATATATATATATATATATATATATATATACAAATGTAGCTGAACACATGTTGTGGGAAAAATGATGTATCTCTTGATGATAAATAATGAATCAGTTTGCAAAGCCCAGTGAGTTTTAAGGTTTATTCTTGTTACAGCAATCTACATTTCTGTCACAAGCAGTTTACAGCTTAAATCATAAAATATGATAAGAATGAAAATGTAAAGAGTGTTCCAGAAAAACAACTTTTTTATTTTTTGGCCATATCGCCCAGCCCTACAGCAAAGGTGAACAGGGGCAAATCTGTTTAAGGAGCTATTACTTTTACTACTTTTACGACTACTAGGACCTAATACTCCTACACTTACTACTGATATTTACAGCCATTGAAACCACTGCTACTTAGGGCTGTGCAAAAATATTGAAATACTTATATATCATATCATTTAATGTGATGATACAGTATTGATATATCATGGGCTGCTGTATTGAAATATCGCCAAGAGTATTTTTTTTTTGTACATTTTACTTAATTGTTCTGTTACAGTGGTACAGTTTTGTTGTTTGTTAAGCGGAAGAAAACTTATTTATGCGACACATTTGACATTTTCACTATTTTGGTGATTAAAATGTTTGTGTTTCATATGAACTTTGCAGAAAAAGTGGTTTAACAAAGACTTTTATTATCACAGCCATGATAGTTTTTATTGAACTGTATCGAATCGATTTTAAATGTTGTATTGAATCAAAAGTGAGATACACACACTCACACTCACACTCACACAAGAGGACAGGGACACAGTGGGACAGGAGGGAGGTGGATTCTGGGACCAAACCTCACATGTGTGTCTCATGCACAGGGCTGGACTCTTCTGCTCTAGACAATGTTCCTGGAAAGTGTCTCGTTTAGGACGTTTAGTCGTATAGATCAGTGTTTCATGTCGCATGTAAGTCTGCAATATACAGTTCTGACACATGAGAGAGCGAGCGAGTCAGCGGATCTAATCTGCCCTGAACGAGTGTTTCTGCAGCTAAAGTTGAGAAATGCTTGTTTGGATGTCCAGAAAGAAGAGTGATAAATCAGCAAAGGTCAGTGCAGGTCAGGACACTTATGGATCCTTTTATTGTTGGTTCAGTTACTGAGTAATACTAATAGTTCAGAGAGACACGATCACTCATGAAGCTTTGCAACTTTTAAAATATCAGACTCCAGAAAAAAAGTTTGGGAAACAGTATTTTAGAGTATAAAAAGTATTTCAAACTGATGGCAAAAGGAGAAATTCCATTTGTCAACTGGACAAAAGTTTATTTGGTCAAATACGTTTCGCAGCTCATCCAAATTCGACCAAATAAAGTTTTGTCCAGTTGATGAATTGAACTGGATTTTTCACACATTTCAAACTGATCTTGAAATACTGTGAGTACCACGACTGCTACGGCATTTACTCACCTACTCTTACTCTTACTTATTAGAAGTTTTGTTGTACTTTTAACACTGTCATAAAGTTCTTCCCAAATACTTACTTAAAGGTGCAGTACGCTCCATGTATCTGCTCTGTCAATGTCACTGCTATAACGTCGGCTATAAATAGGCTATATTTTTCATACTTTGCATTGATGTGGTCGCTCTCGTACAAACAATTGAACATAGCGTTTTAGACATTGCACGTGGTTAAATAAAGGTTAAATCAAAATAACGTAATACTTCTACTATATGAAACTACTACAGAATACTGCATTTGTCACAAATCCGTGTATCATTCATTCATTTGTAAGAAAATGAAGAATGGAAAAAACAGATAACGACCGTTTTCCTGTTTCCATGACTTCTGTGACTGCGATGCTGGACTGAACCAGGACTGATGCAGGTCCAGGACCAGACTGGAACCAGACCGAGATCAGACCGAGACCAGACCGGGACCAGACCGAGACTGAGACCAGACCGGGACCAGAGCGGGACCAGACTGAGACCAGACCGGGACCAGAGCGGGACCAGACCGAGACTGAGACCAGACCGAGACCAGACCAGGACCAGAGCGGGACTGAGACCGAGACCAGGCCGGAACCAGAGCGGGACTGAGACCGGGACCAGACCGAGACTGAGACCAGACCAAGACCAGACCGGGACCAGACTGAGACCAGACTGAGACCAGACCGAGACCAGACCGGGACCAGAGCAGGACTGAGACCGAGGCCAGGCCGGGATCAGGCCGGGACCAGAAGGACCAGACCAGGATCAGACTGGAGGCTCAGAGCCCATGGCAGGGCCAGAGCTCGAAGCTGAGGCTCTGAGTCAAAGCTCGAAGTCCGCTCTGGTCTCGGTCCGGTCCCGCTCTGGTCCTGCTCTGGTCCTGGCCTGGTCCCGGACGTGGATCAGTCCTGGTTCAGTCAGGCATCACAGTCACGGAAGTCACGTAAATGTGAAACGGCCGTTCATTTAAACACAAAATCGAAAAATGAAAAAATGAATTCTTATCTGTTTTTTCATTTTGGTTTTGGAGACAAATAATGAAGAAAATAGTTGTTTTTTCATTTTTTTATTTTTAGTTTTATATTGAAAAACGAATGAAGGAATGACACACGGATTGTCACATTATTGTACAAATTCTGATGTTGTATTTTCACATTCTTGTTCCAGTTTTGGAGATTGAACGCTATGAGCTGAACATAACCAGCAACAAAGTGAACCACCACACGGAGCAGTTCCCGGAGGAGCGCCTGGTCGTCAGGAGAGGACAGCCCTTCTGTTTGACCCTGTATCTGAAGCCGAGCGGGGCAAAGTTTAAACCCGGACACAGCACTTTCATCATCACTGTCCAGACTGGTATGTAAAATCACCATGAAATCAACGTATTTTTTGATCAAAATTGACTCTTATGAGCTTTAAGTCGTGTTATAATGTTGTTAACGTATCGAAAACAGATCTGGACTTGCATTTTATTTTACATTTGTTTGTTTATTTCATTCATAAAGTATAAAAAGACATTAACAAGGACATTAAAAGTAGCAGAGATACGAGTAATCTTACGTTATCTGCCCTCTTTTCACTTTTCCAGACACTACATTAACACTAATATTTACTTTAAAACATTTCATCAATTCATATTTCACTCACACATGTTTGAGTAATCCTTTATTATTAGTCTGTCTATGTCTCCAAAGCTCAAAATTCTCAGTTCCACCTTGTGATGTATCTGTAGTTTCAAGTTAACAGCTCCTTTTACCTTTACCTTGACTAAAAGAGCAGGTAAAATAATGGGTGTGGCCCCAAGCTCACTTCAGCAAATTTTTGAGGAGACTGTTAGGAAGGTGATCAATGGCCCAACCCATGTTCTTCACAGTCAGTTTGAGTTGATGCCATCAGGCAGAAGGTTTAGGGTCCCAAACTGTAAACTGAACAATTCAACATTCTTTTGTGCCACTAGCTGTTAAACTGCTAAACTCAGATAATGCAGTTAAAAAATAATTATAAAAGGCTTAGGGAATGTGCAATCAAAACTGCACATAAGCTTAGGGAATGTGCAATAATTAATAGAATGCAAGAATGCAAGGTCTTGCCTGTTAAGTATAATTTAAAGGTCCTGTTGGTGCATCACTCATGGTAAGACTTGGTCTCGTATTTATTTTTGTTCTATGGTGTTTGTTTATGTGGTGCTTTGTGTTGTGTTGTCCTGTTTTTTGGTAAAGCGTGTTACCCCCTGTCCCAAGACAAATTTCTCCCATGGAAGACAATAAAGGATTATCTTACAGTATCTTATCTTTAGTTCAGTAGAGATTTGCGAGAAGAACTCAGCCTTAATCTGCAGGGTTTGTGTGTTAAATGTATGAATGAACCAAAATCCAACTCCAGGTCTGTTTGTGATGAGGAAACAACATTATAACAGATTGTAAAATAGCAAATCCTAGCATCCTAACGCTGCCGGTTTCACTTCGTGGAAACTGTTTGATGAATCAGGCTAATTTATGGCAGCTCTATGGTCAAAAACACTTTCCATGACCCTCTCCTCCTACTGGTTAACCTGAGTGAGTGACAGGTGGATATAACTAATCACAGTGAAGCGTAAACTTTGAGAAACCGCACAGAGCTTTAGTTACCTCTCAAAAAGGGTGACCGGACGTCTCTATTTACCCAGGACAGTCCAGGTTTTGAGCCCTGTGTCCCCTGTCCCAGCGAATTTATGCAAATACAGTAAAGCTGCTTAAAAATTACCAAAACAAAAAGAAAATGTGACTATAGGCGAGTTTCAGCTGACGTCATTGTTATTAAAAGCCCGCGTTGCATGCTGGGAAATGTTTTGGTCGGAGGCAAGAAACACGGTAGCGGTCAAACACAGTGTGTTATCTTGCGTATTTATCCCCGATAATGGTAAATTCCTGCTGCATTATCGGATGCACAAATAGAAGCACGGAAGAAGGAAAATGTTTTTTTCGTATTCCGAGTGAAAAGAACCGCTAACGGTGAATTAAATATCTTTCAAACATTCGCAGAACAAACGTAGAAGATCCTAGCAAACCGTGGACTCCAACAAGTTCAACAACACATCGAGACTCTTGGAGGCTTTCATCTTTTCTGCTGTGAATGGCTCAGGAGTTTCCACCAAGTCATTGTGGATATCGCCAAAGTGAAAATTTAGCCAGGTAGTTGGTGATTCTGACCAGAAATTTGGTTTGGTCCACCTTTTGTATGGGTTGAAAAGGGTGATTTGGCTCCATCGATGCTTATGACCAATTTCTGGTCGAATCGTCTTCAGTCCTCTGCCGTTAGAGTGGATAAATAACCGGGATCAATACCCTTTACGTGCTTTCTTGTTCCGTCCGTCATGTTGAATTAGTGTTTTTTGCCGCGGACCAAAATAACTTCCAGCATGCAACACGCGCTTTTGTCAACAATGAAACTCACCTATACTGACTCGAATGTTCGTCATGAATGGTTTCTGCATAATAATTTCCCTTAATTATACACTTGTTTCACAGTTTTATTATTACCAACCACCAAAAAAAAAAAAATCTTCCAGTTTTTTATTTTGAAATTCTGGTCACCCTAATCTTCAAGACTTTACGAAAAGTACTAAGAAAACCTGAAATGGTGATCTGGCTCTATGAAAATGGCGCTATGATTTTTTTTGGCATGTCGCCTAAACCTACATATGTTGTAGTCATCTTCTGATACTGAGCCTGTAATAGTCCAAAGTCATAAAATGTGAAACTAGAGGCTCAGGGAGTAGCATGAGATGAGTTTTAAGTTTACATACAGTCGCTCTGAACGGGCACGATGTTATATAATGAGATTAATGAGATAAACGTGGGCGCCATGGTCCTGGTCCTGGGTCCTGATAATGAAGGATCCTGTACCTTTGAGTCTGTACTTCCTGGAGTGTTTGTAGAGTCAGTTGCACCGTTGAACTGAAATCAGCTTTATGCAAATGTGGAGTGATATCGCCACAGTGTTAGACACACAGTGAACACTTTTGACACACACATTGGGTAAGTATGCATGCTCGAGTATCACGGTTATGATCGGGTTTTTTGAGTATCCTGGTTTTGTGAGAGTCCAGTATCCTGATTTCAGTCTCCTGGAAATGCCAGTATCCCGGTGATGAGAAACCAGGGTTTTTCACTTTGTGGAAACCGTCTGACCTTGCAGCATTAGGCTTTGTTCACTCGACTGTAGGTGTTTTTTTATTTTTTTTATTTAACCAATCGCTGCTGTTTGGCCGTGATGTATGTGATGCTCAAAATCCCCTTGATAAAAATTCACCAAACATTGTCTTTATTCCAGCTTTAAATCCTCGATCTCGGGAATCGTTGACAACACAGAATGTATGGCTCAGTAGTCCGACAGAAGCTGAACTGCATCAGGGAACAATAGCGAGCAGTTTTTTTGAGCACTTAGTTTTTGCAAATGAGCCATGTGGTTTTAAGTTTTGTTTCTGTAAAACGTAAACAAATATGCTCAAAGCTGTGTGGATATGGAAGACTTGCGGACACAGAAATTATGTGTCTGGACACAGATTGTTTCCAATACAGTGATTCGTTTCAGTGTAAACGTAGCGTTAGAAAAGCTCTGAGGACCAAAACTACAGCAGGAAATGTCCACAACAGCTTCAGGAGCTCCAAACTTATCTGTCCGTCAAACTTCATTTAGCTAATGGGAATGCACCCAAGGATGCACCCACCCACCTGTCACGTTTGTGCCAAAACTGCAGCCAGAAAAGACAGATTTTCATTTATTTGATATTTTGATTTTAAAAACATTCTTTGAACTATATGACTCAAAATTGATCCCATTTGAGTGCAGTGTCAGGTGGGTCATGGAGCTTTCTGATTGGCTGGCAGGTGCGTTGAGGAGCTCTTGGGGGCATTGATATAAGCATTTACTGAACATTGCCATACAAACTGGTGTCTTACAGTATTCAAAGCGACTATTCTTTTGTAGTAATAAACAATAAACAAGAAATGAAAGAGATTTTTTTTTTTTCACATGGTGCCCCATGAAGTTAAAGTTCAAAGTGAATTGTTCACGCTTATAACATTTGTAAAGATTTTCAAGGACGGGCAGATCAGAGTTGACTAGGGGTGTAACAATATCCAAGTATCGTTACAGTATGAACCTTGCGGTACGATATTTATTGCGATATTGTGGGAAAGTTCACGATATGGAGGGGAGGCTCATGATTAGGGATGTAACAATATCCAAATCTTTCTGTCCGATGTTTTCACGATACACGTCTCACGATACAATATTTATTGCGATATTTTGTGGAGGCAAAACAGCTAAAACTGTTAATATGCAACTTTTTCCTCTTAAAATGCCTTGACAAGACTTAATCCAAAGAACTAAGACTTAAAATTAAAGACTTAAAAGTTATTTCTTCTTGTAGTCTGCACTGAAATGGAGCAAAGGATCATGGTCTATGTAGTTCCCTCTGTCTTTTTTTTAACTATTACTGCACCATAACTCTTTAATTTAAGCAAAGAGACTTGTAATTCAATATATTGTGATGGTCCATGATATTATTGTGAGAACTTTGATGATACAATATCACGATATTTCGGTTATTGTTACATCCCTGCAGTTGACAGTTTTTCAGAGTGGACTTCCCTCTTTAAAGCTTTATCTTTCTCTCTTTGGCTGTTATGTTTTGGAAACACACAGTCATAGAACCAACCAGTTATAAAAGTTCATCAGGATCTTTGAGTTCCTTATGAATTGTCTTAGTTTCCACAAAAACAAGAACACTAGTTATTTTACACAAACCAGAATGATCGTGTGTGTACGTGTGTGTTCCAGGCCCACTGCCCAGGAAAGAGTCAGACACAGAGGTGAGCTTCAGCCTGTCCCAGACCTCTGTGGACGGGTCGGGGGACAGCTCCTGGGCCGCCTCTGCCGTCCTTGGTCCCTCTGGAGGAGACAGCGTCCTCCTGACCGTGCGCCCGTCCGCCGAAGCTCCCGTCGGGGTCTACTCCCTCAGACTGGACCAGGACGGAACCAAGACCGACCTGGGAGACTTCATCCTCCTCTTCAACCCGTGGTGCCCGCGTGAGTCACAGTGTCCGGTTTTTCAGAGAGTTTTATGTTTGTGTCAGATGTGGAAACATCTTTAAAGAGAAGGACAATAACAACTTTATGTCTAGAATCCTTCAGTCGTCCAGGAAGAATCCAAGGCAAAGGAGAAAATCGTCAACTGGATAAACGTTTTCCACCTAAATAAACGTTTGTCCAGTTGACAAATTGGAGTTCTCCTTTGCTATGCCGACTTTAAAGCCATTAAATAAGAACTGAACATAATCAAACAACATTTTTTTCAATTATACAAAACAAAATAAAACAAAACAAAACACAAACACAGAGGAGAAGAATGCCGTTACAATCGTTCAATGAATAATCAATCGAGATGTGTTTGCAGTATTAATTTTCAGATAAAGCCCGATCTAATAGGTTTCACATACTCAGTCCATTTTGTCCATGTTTCATAAAATGAGTCCCTTTGGTTGTGAAGAGTGAAAAACAGCTTTTACATCACATAAATTTCATTGATTATTTCTATCCTCCCACCCTCAGCTCAATCAAACAACATTTATATAAGACTGGTTTGTTTGAGTTCCGTTCTAGTCCTAGTTTAGTCCTGGTCTAGTTCAGGTTTAGTCAGATTAGTCCAGTTTTTTATGAGCAGGTTTACACTTTGTTGAAATCAGCCCTAAACCATTTGTTTTCACAACCATCGACCACAAGATGGAGCACGTGTCAGAAATCAAATAAAATCTAATGAACAAAATTTTGTTCAAATCTCAATCAAAATCACTACATTTGAAGCCTTATGAGACCTCAAAATCTGAGTGAAATACTTTATTTTTTAAGTACATTTTAAAACAGGTACTTTAATACAGGGTGTCCCAAAATACTTGGCATAATTTTAAAAGCAATTATCTTGAAAACTACCAAGTCTAGCTTGATGAAATTGAACAGTTTTGGTGCTGAACATCATAAGTTTATTTTGGGACTTTGTTTGCCAGTTGGTGAAGTTTTTCCAAAGGCTGAAAGCTGTGTAGTCTTTGGTGAGTGTGTGCAGCAGATTCCAAAATGCAAAATGCACTCTTTGGGAGTGAACAGCTCAACCTGAAAACAGAACAAAAATTAAACATTAAATATAAAATCTTGATCTGTATCTGTACATTTTGTGAAAATTTTAGTTTATTTCAACAAGAACTGCCAAAATTTTGAGCTACAAAAATTATTTTATATATATATACATATATATTTTATATATATATATATATATATATATATATATATATATATTTTTTTTTGTTATTGATTAGATCTGACTAGATCTAGATTTCCTGTTCAGAGTTGACCATATTAGGTCATGATTTCTTCTTTGTTGTGTACTTTACTTTACAGGAGATGCCGTGTACATGAATAATAAGTCCAAGAGGACTGAGTACGTCCTGTCCCAGCACGGCCTCATCTACAGGGGGACTCCCAAACGAATCATGCCCCTTCCCTGGAACTACGGACAGGTCAGGAGTCACCCGTCAGCACCCGTCAGCACCTGTCAGCACCCGTCAGCACTCACTTTGAGATCTGAATGAAAATATAAATAAATAAGTGAGCAAGGAGAAGTAATTCATAGTTACTAGTAGAAGTAGTACTGTAGTCACAATCAAAAGGTGGTACAGAACATTTGGAGCTTTGGAGATAAATACTAATAATAAAGTGTTACTCAGACGTGTGAATGAAACAAAACACAACTCCAGCTCTGTTTCTGATGAGATAACAATGTTTCAACACAGCTTAAAGGGCCCATCTCATTCAAAATAACTCTTTTCACATTGTATCTTCTGCACATGAACAAGCACAGTTTGGGTTTTGGAACATCCATTACACAATAGTTCTGAAATCTTACTGATTTCTTGGAGGCGTCACAGACCAGGAACTATGAAAGGCCGACTACTACTCATCCCCCCGCCCGTCCTGAGAAAGCACAGGCTCCGCCCTCCAAACGTGACGTAGGCTCTGAGTGAGCCGCCCTTCCTCCGCCCATCTCAGGGAGGGAGGGGGAGACAGGCGTGCACCCTGATAGCGGTAGGAATAAACTTTTATTCATCATGGAGATACAGCGTGTTCAGCCGCATGTGTTGGACGGGGTGAAGGCGGGGCGGAGGCAGTGGAGCGGGTGAAATGCGTCATAGGTGTATCTGCCGTGTCATCGTAGCAGCTTTAGTTTGTTGTCATTGTTGTTGTTGTTTTTTTTTTGTTAAAAAAAAACACGCTGAATCGATCTAAAAACCACTTCGGCGACAAATACGTAGTAATTGTACTAGTTGTAGTAGTCGTAGTAGTTGTAGTAGTCGTAGTAGTCTTAGTAGTTGGAGTAGTCGTAGTAGTCGTAGAAGTTCTAGTAGTCGTAGTAGTAGTAGTCATAGTAGGTAGGAGTGGTAGGAGTAGTCGTACTAGTTGTCGTAGTCGTAGTAGTAGTCGTCGTAGTCGTAGTAGTTGTAGTAGTTGTAGTAGTCGCAGTAGTAGTAGTAGTAGTCATAGTAGTAGTAGTAGTCATAGTATTAGTAGGAGTCGTAGTAGTAGTTGTAGTCGTAGCCGTAGTAGGAGTCGTACTAGTAGTAGTAGTTGTAGTCGTAGTCGTAGTAGTAGTCGTAGTAGTAGTCGTAGTAGTAGTAGTAATAGTAGTAGTAGTTTGAGAGAAGAACTCAGTCTAGATGTTCAGGGTTTGTGTGTTAAACTTGTGTGAATCAAAACAAAACTTCACGTTTGTTTTTGATGATTATTCATATTTATAACATTGATCAGAAAGGAGCTGTTTAAAAACTATGAATGAGGCGATAATCTGAAAGTGAAATGAATGCTTACAAATCCTTCAAGTACTTCAAGATCCTTCAAGTACTGATCTTGTTTTCTTGTGCGGTTGCAGTTTGAAGAGGGAATCCTGGACATCTGCCTGAAGATTCTGGACGACAATCCAAAGTTTGTGTCTGACGCTGACCAAGACTGTTCTGCGAGGAGGAGCCCGGTCTACGTGACCCGGGTCCTGAGCGCTATGGTACGACTTTCATCAACAGACACAAACTAATGCTGTTTAAGGAAGAAGAGTCAGGGCAACAAATCACTGAAATCACAGCCCAGTCCTTTTACCCATTATAGTAGAGTGACTTAAAGAAGCTTTCACTACAAATTTATCTGATCTGGCCAAGATTTTAAAACTTTTATCAGGTTATTCATCTTGTTTTCAGATTTATTTTCTACTTACTCGTTCTGAGCGTTTAATTCTAGTCTAGAGGTCGATTATTTTAGGATAAATTTTTAAATTATTTTGCTGCACAGACAGACTACTACAGACTACTTTTAAATAATTTTTCTGATAGATTTAAGTGCTTATATCTTAAGTTTTGGCCAAGCTTTATTGCAGTTTTATCTGAAATATTTCACAGTTTTAAGTATTTAAACATTTTTTTTATCATCATGCAAACCAAACCAGACCAGGTTATAGGTCAGATCTGTGGAGAGGTGACCCTGCTTACAGTGAGAATTTTGTTTTTCTAGGTATTTTTGAGCTATAAAACCACCTGTATTGAATAAATGTAAAGTACAGCTGTTTAATGCCATACTGTGGAACATTCCAGGCAGAGCAATGACGTATCCAGAGAAGGCAAGGCAAGTTTATTTGTACAGCATAATTCATACACAAAGTAATTCAAAGTGCTTTACAGAATAAGAAAACATTAAAATCACCATAAAACAAATCAAAATATAAATAATAATATAAAATTAAAGATTAAAATTAAAAAAGAGAGAGAGAGATTAAGTACATAAATTAGAGAGAAGACTGTGGAATGAAAACCTTTCAGTCATATGTACAGTCAAATAAAACCGTTTTGAGCCTGGATTTAAACAGAGTCAAAGTCAAGTCTGTCTCACATGTTCAGACTGTTCCAGGTTTTAGCTTCATGAATCTGAAACTGACTCCCTGTGTTTAGCCCTGACTCTGGGCACCAGCAGGAGGCCTGTCCCTGAGGTGCTCAGAGTGCGAGATGGTTCATATGACACTAACATGTCACAGATGGACTTTGGTGCTCAGCCATGGAGAGACTTGTACAAGCAGAGGCGCTTTAAAGTCTCTGAGCCACAGGAGCCAGTGCAGAGACCTGAGCACAGGACTTATGTGCTTGTACTTCCTAGTTCGAGTCAGGACCCGAGCTGCAGCGTTCTGGATGTACATAGAAACAAGCAGGTAGTGGGCATTCAGATCAGAGAGAGACATTTTAGAATTTAAACCAACTGGATTTCAGCACTAAAACACAAAATAATAACATAACTCAGCCATCGTGTCCAATGTTTTTGCACTTTAGTAAGTACAGGCTTTGTCAGTAAAAGCTTTATTTCATTTCAACATTACCTCGTATTTGGAGACATTTATGTTTATGATGTATGATTTTTTTTTTTTTTTT